ACCATGTAGGAATAGGAGAGAGCGGGGTACCAACTCTACAAACCAGGTTGTTCTTCTGTGTCTTACGTAATTTCCCTTCTCATTCTACCTTTCCTGCTCCCTAAATACTCGGGACCATTATGGACACACTAGATAGTAGGTAAATCAATCGATTCTCGTCATTTGGGGTAGTTAAGGTCTATAAAGTTGCCAGGAACACTGAATTGGCCAATACTGAACCATTGCTCTTTGGGGAAATAGCCACACATACGACCCCTCACCTAGATTACATAATCGTAAATCTCGCAAGCAAGTCATCCTGGTAGATTCTGTTGTCTTTGTTTTATGAAAGAGAAAAGGAGGTTCCAGAGCTTCTTGCACCACGCTGTGCTGTCCCTGTTGTCTCCATCCTTGGATTATAGAAGAGCTGAAGCAGGAAGGCTAAGCGTGTCCTTGGTCAACCTCAGCTGGGTGCTAGTAGGGTGACTCATGTGTTTTTCGTGCTCTGAGCATGTCTGAAACGAACACAAAGAGGCCACAAGTATTGATTTGGGGTTACAAATTAATTTTTGAGTTGGAGTGAGTAGGCAAATCACAAATACAGAATCTGTAAATAATGAAGCTACACTGTAGAATTTGTGTGGGGGGTCCCTGTTAAAAGCAGAGCTGGGAGTGCCGGCAAATACCTTTTTAATGTCTTTTGGCTGGTTCCTTTTCACCCCTTCAGAGACTTGTCAGAGAATTCTTGTCTGACCCATAAAATGGACCCTACTCTCAGCCATGTTCAATCGCATTACCCTGTTTAATTTCCTCTAGGCACTTGTCGTGATCCAGAATTTTTATTTATTTCTTGACTTGTTCAGCCTGTTCCCCTGTGCTCAGATGTAAACTCTGTGATAATGGGAACTTTGTCTATCTTGGACGTCCTTCATGCCCAGCACTTGGAATGCTGTCTGAGATGCCCTGGGAACCCAGTTGCTATTATTCGAATGAATAAATGAATAGATTGATGAACGAATCAATAGTTGTATGTAGGTCTTTCACAGTGAAGGCCCAAGTGTTTTTATAAGAGTAGACTTGAGCTTGCATGACATTGGCTGTGTCGCTTGCAGCCTCAGATAAGGCATCAGGGCCTAAAAAGTAGGATAATTACATCTGAAAGAAGAAAGAAATTCTGCCAGAATTGGGTTTGGGACTAACTTGAGAAGAATTTACTTTAGAGTATTTTGCAAAGAGATAAAGTTAGTACTAAGGACTAGAAACAATGATTTGGTTGGAGGGCGGGGGATGATGCGTTTCAGGAGGAGAAAGGAAGTTGTAACTCCAGACGGAGAGAGGTTGTGTGCTGAGCACATGGGTGAGGCAAGAACAGAGATGAAGTCAAAGTAACTGAGTTTCTTCTCATATGAGGAGCTGAGGTGACATTTGCACGTGAGTATAATTGAGATGAGAACAAAAGCTAGCAGTGAGAAGCCTGGAATGGGAAGAGGCCTAATTTTAAGCTCTATTTTGTCCTGCAATGTCAAGGGCGCTGAAGGATACGTGCCCTATTTCCCAGTGCGGTACAGAGGTGGGATCCAGTAGTCACCTACCATCGGGCCATCATTCCTAATTATCCCCATCCCATTCTTGTCTTTAGGGTAGGGACGAAGAAGGTGGAAGTAGCGGTCTATGAAAGGAGGTTGGGGGGCTATTTCTTTCATCCTTGGATTGGCTCTACTCAAAGCACTTCCATTAGCCCTAGTGATTCTGAATCAAAAGATGTGAATCTGAAATTGAAAGCTAAAATCGTAACTAGGAGCTGCCAGCTTCCAAACCAAACCTGGGAACTAGAAACACCTGAACACACTGCTAGCAACCAATAAACCCTGCCATATTTGGATTAATAGCCCATAGAAGAAGTGAAGTCCAATCAAATCATTAACTCCTTTTAAGTGACTTATAAAACAGCAGAACTGTGGAAAACTTCTTTGTAGTGGAAGAATTTTAGAAATATAGGATAGCATTCAACTTATTTTATTGTACCTTTTGGAATATAAGAATGCTACAGTTACAAAAATTTGGAAGCTTCATCGAAGTATAAAAAGAGATTCAACTTTCCTGGTTTCAAAGGAAAGTCAATTCTGGGTTTTTTAAAAGATCTGAGGAAAATACTTGGCCAAAAATGAACAGATCGTGTTTCCAAATTTCTGGGAATTTATATTTTGGGGCCATGGTGGTTGTGGTATCCGCTTTCTCAAAACATATTGGCTCAACAAAGTAGATTTTGGTCTACTTTTTTTGTAAAACAAATCTATCCATCATAAATATCAAATGGCCAGAATTGGGATTAAGTGGAACCCCATGTTATGATGGCAACTGGGACACTTTTCCTACCATAGAGTAACTCAAGTCCCAATGATCTTCAGAGCGAAATGGATCCCAAACTCAATCGTAGTCTATTAACAAAGCTACTTCTTAATACAGACAATACCATCTCAGATTTGTCTATGACTTCACGGTGTTACTTATTTCCTCATATAGTATTCCACGTATCTACCACAATAATCCCACATGGCTGAGACAGCAGATATTATTCACCTCATTTTACAAAATAGGAGAACTTAGAAATGGACATTTTCCTTGATTTTCCCAACATCATCCTCCTGCAAGTGTGTAGAGCTAGTACTCCACACCACATTTCATGGCACCTACTCTAGAGCTACTGGTGGGGTTGGGTCAGGTTTACTCAAAGCCAGAGTAGCATTCAGCACAGAATATGTTAGCAACCACATCAAAACCCGAGGACTTCATGATACGGTCAAATGATTTTCGACAAAAGTGCTAAGACACTTCAGTTGTCTTCCAATTGTCTCTTCCATCAGTGGTGCTTAGACAACGGGCTGTCCATTAATAAAAAGACACAGTTGGACCCTACTTTGCACTGTACACAAAACTTAACTCAAAATGGCTCACAGACCTAAAGGTAAGAGGTAAAACTTCTAGAGGAACGCGGAGGTGTAAATCTCCACGACCTTGGATGAGGTTGCTTAGCTATGACATCAAAAGCACAAATGACAATAGAAAAATAGGTAAATTGGACTCTGTCAAAATTAAAAACTTTCGTGCTTCAAAAGGCATCATCAAGGGGCGCCTGGCTGGCTCAGTCGTAAGAGCGTGCGACTCTCGATCTCAGGGTCATGAGTTCGAGCCCCACGTGGGGTGTAGAGATTACTTAAATAAATAAAACTAAAAAAAAAAAAAAAAACCCAAAGGGCATCACCCAGAAAATGAAAAGACTTGGGAGAGATACCTCATTTCATACAACAGCCAAAGCTCCCTGCCCTTACGGAGCTTGCATCCCATTAGATTTACCTTGACTGTATACTCAAGTACGGTTTCACTCTTAGGGCTCATTCTGGAAGATACTTTTCAAATGTAAGGTGCCGCTTTCCAGAAATTTTACTTTCTCCATCCTAATGTGCCCTGGTTTCTATATGATTCCATCCTTTTCACAGCTCGGTTGTAGTCTGTTATTAAATTCAGTTTGAGGTCAAAGGGAAAGACAAATTTCTTGAGAATAGTGGCTTTTTGAGTAAATATTTTCATGGATAGCTAAGTTTATCTGGGAGTCCTCAAGGGAGAACTAGAAATGACAACATAAAAGTAATGGTAAGAGAAATTGAGCCCAGTGATGAACTTCCTTGAAATATTAGCCTGAATTCCACATTCTGTACTTGTCCATCAAAATGCATCTTATAATTTTTTCTTTTGTTCATTAAACATTTAGCCAACATGTCTGCGTGCTAATCTGACATAGGACCTGATCTTGGGGTTTGCTGCAGATGGCCAGTGACCATTATCTTCTCAATGAGAAGATGTCTTGAGTAGTCTCTCTGCTGTGTCTTATAATGATCAGGAATAAAACTCAAGGAATCTTGGCCTCTGGAAACAGGACATGATATCTCTGAAAAGCCATAGCTGGATTTTTATCCTGAACTTCTGACCCTACTTCCAGTCTGTCTCATTCAGAGAGAATGGAATTACTCCAGTTAAATAAAGTATCCCAAATCAAAAGGGCTTAATGACTGAGCCATATCTCCTCCCTGAGATATGCTAGAGTAATCAATGATGCTATTGTCATTCTCTGTAACACTGCAACTTCTGTGCTGTGTTAAAATCATAAAACTCCTGCATGCTCTCTCCATTTCCCACAGCTGTGATTTCTGGGTCTCTATTTGCGAATAAGCATTTCAGAATTGTCATGAGGTGGAGGAAATAGCATGTGCAGAGTATTTCCCAAGCCCAGTTGCCGAGAATGAGCTAATTGTCACCCTCCCTTGCATATCATGAGTCTTAAAAACTTCAAATGCAAGCCATCCTATAATGATCTACCTTTCCTGGAGAATGGCATGTGTTCACTGTAGAACCTCGGGAAGTATACCAGAAGTAAAATTATAAATTATGTCCTAAGATTAATAAAACAGTCAACCATCCTTTTTCTTTTTTGATGTTTTCATAGCGATGAAAGACAAAGTCGATGTCTGTATTTAAAAGAAAAGTTAAGTAAATGTGATATAATCTTGCTACCTTGCTTCTGGAAAATTTGTTCAATGGATATCGATAGTAATCTATTCTCCATAAAGGAATAATATTGTTTTATTTTTAACTTACTTTTTTGTTTAATAGGCCAAAATTATACTTTCTTTCAAGATATAAAAGCAGGAATCACAAATATATTTCAGGCGTCGATTTCCTACTAACTGGTAATAGCTACATATATGTTGGGTTAAGGAAGATTCTGAGGCCGAGTATGGCTTAGTAGAAAAGACTGCTACCTTTGGATAACAGTGTTCTCCAAGGATGCAAGATAGGGAGTGGACATGTAAGTCCTATATTTTCCATCTCTGTATAATTGGAAGAAGAGTTAACATTTAAAGTATCCTTTTTAGTGATTACCAGAAACATAGTAGTCTACATTAAAGAGCATGTAACTGAAAACAAAGGCCAAGTAAACCCTTACTATTCTATCTATCCTGTAGGTCAATGCATCACGTCAAGAAGCCAAATTGATGGAGGAGTGTGATCTTCTCATTGAGATCATTCAGCAGAGACGACAGATTATTGGAACCAAGATCAAAGAAGGGAAGGTATGATTTCTAGGGTAGATTTCATATTTTCTACCTGGAGAAAACATCATACTCCCATGCACTTTAATAGCTTAGGAAATATCGAATACCCCCCTTTTCTATATTTTCTGTAATTTCCTCTTAAGTCTTTAAGACGGAGCTCAAAGGCCCCTGGTTGGCCATTTTTTTCTCCACCCATTTTTTGTATTATCACCATTTCCTATGCACATCTGTAATAAAAGGATTACATTACCTCTCCTCCATTACTGAACTCCATGGGGCAGCATGGAGCCCTGGTCTATTATAGCCATTGTTTTCATCTTTCTTCTCTATGAGAAGGTGGGTTCCACAGAGGAGGAGTTCATTTCATATTTATCGCTATATCCAGCAATTAACACAGTATTAAATAAATGTTTCAATGAATCAGACTTTATATAGAAATTGCAAAGTATTTTCCCGTGCCCTTGAGCGAATTCAGACAGGTATAATTTCATGGTGGCAAAACTGCTGTAGTTTCACTGTATCATAGATCCCTTTGTGGATATATTAATAGTAATTTTTTTCTAATATTTGTATCTTTAAAATTCCTATGGTTTTTATTGAAATACTTGGGATCCATTTTATTTTGCTCATTTCTCTGCCACCCTCAAAAGGTAATTTTGTAAATATTTAAAAAATAGAAACATTCATTCAAGATCCAATAAATTCATGAGGTTCTATTATTACATATGCTCATAACCATGCTTTAATGAAATATGTATAATTAAATTAGCAACTATTAAGTGGTACACAGAGGTTCCAATAGCTAATATATGTGCGCTTCTCTGTTTTCTACCATATTTAAAAGGTACTTTCAATACTGTATAATGTTTTAGATTACTTTGCCTATGTAAGTTGAAAAATATTTACGCATGTAAATTGTGATGGTGATCAGAAAAGTTAAAGTCAAATCAAATCAAATAGCTCTGGACGCTGTTATAGTGAATTAACAAATTAATATGAAATCATTCCCTGGCCAAGAACTCAAATGTACTGAGAAGCGACTTTTCCCCATGTACAAATTGTACAACTTCGAAGAGCACTGAATGTCAGCCTGGAATCCTCACAGGACATTTTTCTTCTTCCATTGTCATGCACCACATGTGTACATCTCTTAATACCTGACATCTCGCAGGTCCTCAGATATACGATTGCCTGAAATACAGCTGCAATTCATTAATATGCATGTGGGAGGGAATTTGTTGCCTTTACATGGTACAGGGATCAGCTCTCCATACTTATATTGGTTTCTTATCGCTGCTGTAACAAATTACCACAGACTGGGTGGCTTAAAACAACACAGATTTAGTTTCTGACCTTCCGGAGGTCAGGAGTCCAAAATCAGTCTCACTGGGCTGAAAGTCAAGGTTTCAGCAGTGCTGTTTCTTTCCGGAGGCTCTAGGGCAGAATCTATTTGTTGCCTTTTCTGGCTTTTAGAGGCCACCTGCACTCCTTGGCTCCTGGTTTCTTTATCACATCACTCCGACCTTTGCTTCCCTCCTCAGATCTCTTTCTCTGGCACAGTTCTCTCTGGTTCTCTCTTCTAAGGACCCTTCTAATTACACTGGGGTCACCCAGATCATCCAGGATAAGACCCCCCTCTCTCAAGATCCTTGCCTTAATCACATCTGCAACATCCCTTTTATCATGTAAAGTGCCATCGTTTAAAAACTCCTGGGAGTAGGATGGGAGCATCTTGGAGGGGCATGGTTATTCAGCCTGGCCAGCATGCCTTTCCCTTGCTTAACTTCCCAGCATGAGGGTTTCTCTCATGAGCTCGATCAAAGTAGTGAAGGGGTGTCGCAGTTCCGGCCGTCGTCATGCATGGGGTTCGTGCTTTGGTGCACCCAGTCCACCCCGGATACGTGTCAGTGACAAGAGAACATGGTGAAATAGGAAAGCAAAGACACCCAGCTGGACCCAAAACAAGATAAAGGTCTCCATGGGCCAGAAATGGGACAAACCTGCAAAGCTACAGTTGCAGCTAAAACACGGGAGTGGGACTTGGTCTGGAAGAGACCAAAGCAGCGACACCTGCCACTCCAATGGATAAAGAGTTCTTGAAGCCCTGGGAAAAGGGGCTAGAAGTGCTCCAGATGGTATGAGGGACTAAAATCAGGCTTGTTGGTCAATGCCACGGGTCGCATAAGGCTTCTCAGTTCATTCAAAGGCACCAAGAAAGATTATTGCCAACCTCTATCCTGGGTCATAGTTTTTAGTGATTTCGGGCCTGGGAGTCTGGAACAAGTCTGTTGTTGGGCTGGAGCCTGGATTTGCACTATTTCTGATACCTGCTCAAAAGAGAAGCCTCAGAAATGCAGAGGATCCCTGAATGAGGACCCCCAAGTGTGAGGGAGTTGAGGAAAACTGATGGTAATACCAGTAGGTGGAGGGGATGGGAGGGGGCTAAGCAAAGAGAAAATGATTATGAATGACTTCTTCCCTTTAAACCTGAAACTCAAAGCGCAGTGCTGAAGCATATAAAGAAATCTTGCATTTCTGAAAATACAGCCCGCAAAATCAACAAAGACGTTATCTCACCCCAGGTGAAATTCATTTTATGGGAAAATATAGAAAAGATGTTTAAAGCGATAAATGAAGGGATAACTTCTATTTTAAAAGAGCAAAAACTTGTGAAGCCACAAAAAGGGTATAAGATCAGAAAGAAAGAAATGTGAAAATAACAGATTAGCAGTTTGGGAGGTAAAATGTAGACATTGAAACTATAAAGACTACTCAGCCGCAGGGGGGATTTGGAAACTGAGTTTTAGCCTCCACATAGGAGATGCTATTCTGCACATAATATGAAATTCGAGCCATATTTCATGCCATATACAAAAATTAAATCTAAACGGATATTCCTAATGTGAAAGACAAAATGATAAAACTTCTAGAAGAAAATGTGAGAGGAAATCTCGATGAACCTTGAGTTGGGCAAAGATTGTTCATATACAATGTTAAAAACATCAAAGAAATATTTACAAATTAAACAGATAATTGTATTACATCAAAAGTAAAAACTTCTCTCTAAAAGGCACTGTTAAGAGAATGTAAAGACAAGCCACAGGTTGGAGACAAATATGTATAAATTATTTATCTGAATAGAAAAATATTCGTACGCAGGTATATAACAAATTCTCAAAACTCATTAGCAAGGAAACAAACAATACCTTTACCAGATGGATAAAAGATTTGAATAGGTACTTTACCAAGGAAGGCATGTGGATGGCAAATGAGCACATGAGAAGATGTTCAAAATCATTAGTTGTTAAGAAAAGTCAGTAAGGGAAATTAGAACCTCAAGGAGATACCCTACTTACCTAGTAGAACAGTTAAAATGAAAAAGATGGACCATACCAAGCGTTGTTGAGAACGTGGAGGAACTAGAACTCTCATACGCTGTTTATAAGAATAAAACTGCATTTTGGAAAACTGACAGTTCCTTAAGTAGTTATACATACACCATGCTAGGTGTTTGCCAGAGAATTGAAAGCATGTGTCCCTATAGGACACATACATGAATTTTCATGGGAATAGCAAGGGTAATAGCCCCAAACTGGAAATGACCCAAATGTCTATCAGCAGATGAATGAATAAACAATTTGTGGCGCAGCCATACAATGAAATACTATATTCAGCAACAAAAAAGAACGAGCTATTGATACATGCAACAACACGGATGAATCTCAATAAATTAGGGTGAGTGAAAGAAGCCAGACAGAAAATAGTATATACTGCATGAACACATTCATATGGAAGTTTAGAAATAACACTTTTTTTTTTAAATGTTTTATTTATTTATTCATGAGAGTCAGAGAGAGAGAGAGAGGCAGAGGGAGAAGCAGGCTTCCCGCTGAGCAGGGAACCTGATGCGGGACTCGATCCCAGAACCCTGGGATCATGACCTGAGCTGAAGGCAGACGCTCAACCGTCTGAGCCACCCAGGCGCCCCGAAATAGCACTTTCTAATAATCTACAGTGACAGAAGACAAATCGGTGGTTGCTTAGGGATGAGTGACAGGGAGTGGGGTGGGGGACGGGATGAATTACCAAGGGCAGGAGGAAAATGGAGGCAAGATCTATGTGTCCATTATCTTATGGGTTTACACATATTTGCAAACTTACCAAATTTGCACTTTAAGTATATACAGTTTGTTGTATGTTAATTATATCTCAATAAAGCTGTTTATAAGACAATTGTATATTTATGTACTGGAACAGCCTTCAAAAGTTAAAATTTATGAACTCGGGTGACATGCATTCATATGGACAAATCGCAAACATATAAACAAGCTTTACAATGTTTTGCGTGGAGTGAGACTTGTTGTATAAAATTCGATAAACTACAGAAAAATCCCATACAATGTTTAGGCACGCATACATACTTGGGAGTGATCCAGCCTGAATTCAAAAAGGTGTTTTCCTCTGGAGAAGGACTTGAATGAAATTAGGGAGGGACACACAGGGCTTCCATGCTATCAATAATATTTTACTTCCTTTTCAGAAATCTTTTACACTAATATGATGGAGATATTGAGATTTGGTAAAGCTGGGACTGGGCACGGGGAAGTGGATCATATTACTTTAAAAATCGTCTGTGTGTTTGAAGTTTATCACTTTTTAAAAAGTACACACTTGGCTCGGGGACATTATCTCAGAAGGCAGTCTTAGAAAGCAAACATTGCTTGGGAAAGATGAGGCCCAGTTTGGCTTTCTCTTGAGTTACTGCTTTGGCAACATCACCAAAGACTAGTGGAATCCCAAAGCTCGGAATTCATGGTGACTGAGTCCCTGGCCAGGGCACGTGGTGTCAGAGATACATTTTGAGGAAGAGAAGAGCGTGAGTACCAACGCGCTGGGAAACCGAGGTGCTGGGCAGGGAGGGCCAAGTATGGACTTGGTGCCCCATGAGGGTGCCCAGGGTGGTGTCTGGGCGGTCTTGAGGACGCCGAATCCAGAGAAGGGGCAGGGGGGCTCTCTCACCGGCACTTGGAAGTGGGGAGCTGGAGGAAGAACCGGCAGGACCGCGGGGATCACGGTGGTGATGTGACTTCGGCCGCCATGGGTCTCTGGTGTGGATCCCGAGGCCGTTAGACCTGGTGGAAACAGACTCACCGCAAATCCTCCGGCTGAGGGCTTGCCAGGTAGGCAGGGTTGGGACCCACTGGTACGTACTGGTAATGCTTGCTCTCAGACCATTGTGCAGCCTAGGAAATAAATAGCTCGGCAGCCTTTTTCCTCGGAGGGACTGGAGAGTCTCAAGCCATGAGACTCCCTGGGAAAGAAGTATCTTATCTCTTCAGTAGGAGGAGATAAATTTCATGTCAACACAGCAAAAGCTGGCAGCAAACTCCAGACTGAGGAAATGAGGTGTTTTATGTTCAGACACGGATGGGTGGTAGAACGCTGCAGCCACAGAGAAAAAGGGTCCCTTCTCTTCACGGCTTTTAAATGTACTCCAGATCTCCAAAATTTAAGATCAGTAACTGGACTATGTAGTCGGGCTTTTCTAGAGCCTTACAGAAACGCCAAGTCAGGCCTCACTGGCAATGCAGAGACCTGTGATAACTGAGGATCAGTTGTTAGGACGGAACAGTTTTGGGGTGGGGATCCTACAGTACATATAAAAGCACATACATTAAAAGCATTTAAACTGCATTTAAAGAAAAACGAAGCGCTGCATTTTAGAGCGCGTGTAAGGTATAATAAACAGCAGATAAATTGGTATGTATAGGCCTGTGTCCTCACCAAAAGCAGATTCAACCGGCAGGCTATTTCCATGATGAGCATAGAGCGAATTCCTGAAATTACAACGTGCAAGCAACACTTCCCAAAGGCAAAGAAGAACAGGGCCCGCTTGGAAAAATGTCCCCTGTGGCAGTAACACTTAACGTATAAAGAATCTTCTTACGTGTCAGTACCCAGTGTTTCTTTTCAAAAATCAGATTTTATTCGTCTTGTCAGATTTTTAAAATAGTATATAAAAAAGAGTTTTCTAAGGACGAAATTAGTATTTTGCTAAATGCTCGGTGTCTGATTCTGAAGTGTTGTAGCAAGTAGGACAGTGTTTCCCCAAGTGTGGTTCAGATCAGGGCCGTTTGATCCGAATCACTTAAGTTGGCAAACTTTTTCGGTAAAGGGCCAGATAATAAATATTGTAGGCTTTGCCATACAGTTTCTGTTGCAACAGTTCACCTCTGCCCAGTGTTGTAGTGTGAGCCATAGATGATTCATAAATGAATGAACGTGGCGGTGTGCCAATAAAACTTTATGTACACAGATCGGTGTGTGCTGGATATGGCATAGAGACCATAGTTTGGGAACACCTGATTCAGAGTAGTGTTCTTCTTTTCTTTCTCTCTTTTCTTTTTTTTTTAACTGAAGCCCACAGTAAAAAAATAGGGAGGACATGAAGCACACACACGGCAGGTTTTTGCAAAACCGAATTTGCCTTCTGTATCAGGAATGCACTCTGCTACTTTCTTCTCTCCTCTTCCCTTCTATTTTGTTTGTAAGTGCTAGTTCTGACCATACTACTGACCCATCACCTGCGGCTCATTGCCTGTTGGAATGTAGATTCGTACTGCTCTGTCAATAACAGCTTTTTAGGGAGGATATTGGAGAGGGGGCCCAAACATTTACAGTTTCTCTTTTCAAAAGATTCCTGCTGATTCTTGTGCACACCATTTTGAAAAGCTCCGATCCGGCATGTCAGATGGAATTGTACACTTGAACTAAAATTAAAATTATGCCAACAATTGTTTTCGGTAAAGCATTCCTATGTTTTCTCATTTTGGCTTCCTTCAACTTAATGCATGAGTTAGGGTTGTTGTTTGGTTTTGTTTTTTATCTTTTCCGCTTAATGCCACTTTTAATTTCCAGTATCATGATAGAAGAAAAGAAAGAAGAAAATAGAGTTCAAGCATTGTTGCATTTGTAGTCTGTGGGATGGATCACTGATAGACGAAAAGGCTAAGTGACTGACACAGAGTTGTTCTAAAGGAGTATTTTGACCTTATGTTTCTTTTGTTGGAATTGTATTAAACATCTTTAATTCCATCGTGTGCTTAAATATTTCGTTCACTTGGATTGTTGGGGACTCCAAGTTATTTTCCTTCCTCTGATGGATGAATTGGACTCTAAGCCTTTCTCAGCTTTACCTCTGGATGTAACTGTGTTAGACGCTAAATTCAATTTGGTGTAGGGGCGCCTGGGTGGCTCAGTCGTTAAGCGTCTGCCTTCGGCTCAGGTCATGATCCCAGGGTCCTGGGATCGAGCCCCACATCGGGCTCCCTGCTCTGCGGGAAGCCTGCTTGTGTTCCTGCTCTTGCTGTCTCTCTCTCTGTCAAAATAAATAAATAAAAAAAAATCTTAAAAAAAAAAATTCAAGGGCGCCTGGGTGGCTCAGTTGGTTAAGCGACTGCCTTCGGCTCAGGTCACGATCCTGGAGTCCCGGGATCGAGTCCCGCATCGGGCTCCCTGCTCGGCGGGGAGTCTGCTTCTCCCTCTGACCTTCCCCCTTCTCATGTACTCTCTCTCATTCTCTCTCTCTCAAATAAATAAATAAATAAAATCTTAAAAAAAAAAAAAAAAAAAAAAAAAAAAAAAAAAAAAAATTCAATTTGGTGTAAAAGAAGTGTTATTGCATTCAACTAATGAACACGGTGAATCTGCTGTGGATGGTCACCGTAATTATAACGAGTTACGTCTTTTACCAGGCTTAATCTCCTACGCCGTTTGCTCCTAGGTCTTGGCACTTCATTCTCTCTTAACGCTGCCTCTCTGTGCAGCATGAATTTCCTTTGTTTGCTGCAGTACGACATAGCTGGAATCAGATGTTCCTTAGAGGCCTCGAGTTCTGACATCTCCTTCCTTCCTTTTCTTCGATTAAAGTTGCATGGGGATGCTAATGATGACTTGGAGAAAGAAGGAATTTCTTGGAGTTAGCAGGAATTCTGGAGGGGGCCGGAGCCAGCCTTGTCTGTAAGACAGATTAACTGGCCTCCTCCCTACCCTTTCACCCAGGGCTGTTTTCCATTCCGGAATGATCCTGAGGCCGGCCAAGACCTGTCCCGGGCTGTGTGGATGGGGCACTGGGCGCCCAGCAATTCCAATTAGCAGTCTAATTTTGACTTGGCTTCTGGCCAGAGGGCTTCATCTCACAGCACATTTCAAACACTCTAGCGAATGGTCAAGTGGGTTACCGTGCACTTATCTTGGCCTACCCCCGAGGTTACGGTCAATTACGTCTGAGGGTCGTTTTCAAGCAAGACAGAATCAGGAATTGGAATGGAGGTTGGAGCCAAACATGCATTTTTATCCCGACTGGGAAATGCTTATCAAAATAGTTCTTAGTTATCAAGGAAGCACAAAGTACCTGGAAATGACGTTCCCAGTGAGGGGAAAGGGCCCAGCTGTGCTTTCTTTGGCTTTCTCTCATCTGCTCAACAGGAAAAATATTAATCAATGGAAAAAACGCTGGCTTTCTGTTCATTTAACACGTGAGTTTTAGATCGTGTGGGAAATAGTAATACCTCATGTTTTCACATCACAATTCTATGACGTGGATTGCAAAGACCTTTTGGGAAAATGGTTCTTACTTAAGCCACACATTTGCACCTACGGGGATGTCTTATTTTCTTGATGGCCCAGCTGAAGCCCTGAGACAGAGAAAGTCCCAGCGTTCGCTGCCGTCTTACAGTAATTGAGCGGAATAGTGAGGGAAGAGGTCTGGTGACCCTTGTAGCTTGCCATTAGGCAACACCTTTTTTCCCCATCAACAAGGAAGCAATTCACAATAAAGTATTTTCTCATAAAACAAATTAGCGACGCTTCTCCAAGGAGATCAAGAATATCCAAGCCAGGCGTCCCCTAACTGGGATTTCCACATTTCTCCGCCCACTCTTTGGACTTTCACTGAAGGACAACTTCCGTGCAGCACGATGCACACGTTGGAAGGGTCCAGCCTGATGCATGTTCCCTGAGCAAGCCCACCCACCTAACCATCTCCATGCCTCTTTTCAAGGTGATGAGGCTTCGCAAACTGGCTCAGCAGATTGCAAACTGCAAGCAGTGCATCGAGCGGTCGGCGTCCCTCATCTCCCAGGCGGAACACTCTCTGAAGGAGAATGATCATGCGCGGTTCCTACAGACAGCTAAGAATATCACCGAGAGGTGAGTTGCGGGGGCTGCTGGGAAGTTCTCAGCTGCTGGGCTCCTGTGTCTGGGGAGTGATCGCAGGCCTTGCCCTCGCCTGGCTTTTGTTTTCATTTTCGAGGCTGAGTACCGGGGAGAATAGAGGCTTTGAGTTGCTTTGTTCCAGCTAAAGATGCTTCCCTTTGACATGTCAAAGCCTTTTCAGTAGCGCCCTGGAGTTCAAGGCCTTTGAAACAAGAGTCCACCGGTTGGAAAGAATAAAATCAGCCTTGTTTGGCGGGGGGGGCGGGGTGGAGAGGCGGGGGAGAACGCTTGCGGGGGAGAACGCTTACGGTGGCACAAAAACGACAGTTATTGTAACTCTCAGACCTGATCTTATCGTACACTTGGTAACAAAGAGTCAAAATGAAGGCAAAAACATAAAGGGGAATCTTTTCTTCCATCTCAGGGCTCATCTATTAAAAAGAAAAGAAAAAAAAACAACGCCCAGGTGTTGCACTCTGTTAGACCTATTTTTATTTGGTTGAGAAGGTTCGCCTCGATAGAAAGGTCAAAGCTGACTCATGTGGGAGAGGAAGGACCCAACTGTCCATCTCATACCTCTTTCTTTTAAAGGGTCCTTTATTCTGGGGCAGGGCACATAAAGAGAACATTATTGCCCCGTTAGGGGACGCCTGGCTTGGATACTCTGAATGGTCAGTTCAGCGGTGAAACTGATGGGAGTCAGTGCTCCTTCGCTCCGCGTCCGTCTGGATTGGCATAAACGTACTCGCCTTCGCTGCTGCAAACACCTTCACCTAAATGATACCTCCAACCCCTGCCAGTGCCCTGGACTTTTCATTCATTCTCATTTTTGGAGGCCCCCTGCCCCATATGCAAAGCGATAATAGAATCCTATCACCGGACAACCCCGGACAGCTCATTCATGCTGGTCTTTATCCTAGAGCAGAAGTCTGCAAACTTCGATAAAGGACCAGAGATGAAATATTTCAGCTCTGCAGGTTCTAAGGTCTCCTTCGCAACTACTCAGCTCTGCCGTGGTTAGCTCCATAGCAGCCGATCGTAGACAATACAGAAACAAACGGGCATGCCTGGGTTTCTACCAACACTTCCCCAAACAGGTATTTGGCCCTCTGGCTGTATTTTGCCAACCCCTGGCCCAGGGGAAAAAAATACTCACCGTCATCTGACTTGCATTTCTTCAAGGAAGGAGAAAGAAAACGAACATTAATTGAGTGCGTGCTTATGTCGGGCACTGTGCTAATTCTCAGAATAGCCCTTAGAGGTAGGCGTTGATATTTCTGTTTTCACCGTTCTTTCAGTCCGAGTAACGTACAGTGGTTTTACAGCCTTGCTCTTGTATCGAACCAGCTTCATGGTGTCATTTCTTACATTTGAGAAAAAACTCTTCTGCAGCTGGTTACGATACTTAATCTCTTCCAAAGCACGTGGCTAACAGCTGCTTATCATCCTGTTTATATCCTTAAAATGATCGCCTCCCTACTCTAAAGAGAAGCCAGTTTCTTTGCTCACGACTCCTAGGTTCCCAGTGTTGGTCTTCGTAGCTCTCATCTGGACTGTATCCGGTTGCTTTATGTTCCTCCTAAGGTTAAAAACTGCAAATGGTGCTAATACTCCGGCGTACCTAGGACACTCTACTAGACCCTGTTTACACTTACATCATGGTTTCCAACTGGGATCCAAGAGTACTTTTCTCCAGGTACAAATCATGAGATGTCCAGATGAAATGGCTACTATGAGCTGCATTTCTCAGCACTCCCTAAAAATTTGATCAAGTGTAATATGAACAAACTCACACCTATTGAGGGGAGAGAATGTGGCCCCATAACAGATGGGATAGAACATTCTGAAAGAAGACCTACCTTTGAAGTATAACATAAGCACATGAATGTCCCACATGTGATCTCTCACAGATCCAGCAGGTCATAACCGGTCCCATTCACCTCTACCTGTAACAAGCCCATCTCTTCAAGAACAGAAACAGGACTTTGATTTTTCTTTCTACAGATAGTGAACTGTATAATACAGTTGACCCTTGAACAGCATGGGTTTGAACTGCTCAGGTCCACTTATACACAGTTTTTTAAAAAAATAAATACAGTGCAGTACTGTAAATGTATTTTCTCCATAATATTTTCTATAATAATATTTCTTAATATTTCTAATAATATTTTCTTCTCTCTCGCTTACTTTATTGTAAGAGTGCAGAGTATAATACATACAACATACAAAAGATGTGTTAATCGACGCTTTATGTTATCAGTGAGGCTTCTGGTCCCCAGTAGGCTCTTAGTAGTTAAGTTTGGGGGAGTCAAAAGTTATACACAGTTTTTCCACTGGGTGGGGGTCAGCGCCCCTAATCCCCACATTGTTCAAGGGTCCACTGTGTACTATATTCCCAAGCCTCACTAATAGATAGTTCTTGGTGTGATTGTATGTGCACTTCTATAAAATCATTTTAAATAAGCAAAACTGTTCACTAAATCCAGGCGTAAGAAAGTCGGCCTCCTGCTTATGAGAATGCTAAAGTTCCATCAAGTTTGAAGACGCAGCCTCCCTCTTCCTGTCTCTATCGGCAGTCCTCTTGGTCAGTTCCTGAGCCTTTCTCTCTTTCCGGGACCGGAATGTCGTGAAAGGGCAGGGGGCTTGGACCAGGACCTGGGAAACTTGGGCAGGGATCCCAGCACTGCCACTTTTTAACTATGATCCTTTGGGTTTATCCGTGAGGTATTTTCTGCATAGAGTATTGGGCTCATAGGGGCGCCCGGGTGGCATAGTCCATTAAGCGTCTGACTTGGCTCATGTCATGATCTAGGGTCCTGGGATCGAGCCCGCATGGAAGCTCTGCTCAGTGGGGAGTCTGCTTCTCCCTCTGCCCCTCCCCCCGCTCATGCATTCCCTTCCTCTCTCTCTCTCTCTCTCTCAGATAAATAAAATCTTTTTTTAAAAAAAAGAAAATTGGGCTCATAATAGCTGCCTCTATCAGTAGTTGTAGTAGTACTGCTGATGACTCCTAAGAACAGGCCTTTAGCATTATAGATACTCCATAATGTCTGTTGGATTTAAGTTCTCATAGTTTAGTATGTCAGTCCGGTCCCGCCTTGTATGTCTGTTCCGGGGCTGGTCTCTGCCTGTCTCTACTCTTCAATCCTTTACTTAGTAAACATTCTTCTCTAGGACGTGACTTCATGATCCTCTGCCTCCTATTGTGTCTGCCTTGGGCTTTGGCACCATCTCTCTTGTTCTATTCAAGGGGGGGAAAGCCCAGAACAAACTTTCAATCCTGCAAGCCTTCCTAAAGTGAGACTTGAATGAGATTTTTCTGCATCTTTAAATCACTTAAGGTAGATATGTTCATCGACAGGCTGAATCAAACTGCAAAAAGGTTTTCGATTCAGAAATATAAAAAAAAACAACAACACAACAATACCCGAAGGGGAGAGACCCTCAAGCTTTACACTGTAAGAGATGCATATGCTTTGGAATCCAGGATCTGGCTCTGCGCTAATTGCTTAGCAGGAATTCTGGATGGCACTGGGGCTGCTCCTTTAACACTTGTGAGTCCAATTTTGCTCATATGCTCCTAGCAGGCAGAACCCCCGGCCGCCTTGTTTTCACCATTATGGCCCCAGCACATAGCAAACTGCCTGACATGAATGAATGAGTGAACAAACTATAAAACAGGTTGATTATTCCTACCTAATCTGGTTGTTATAGGGACAAAATCAAATAGTATAATAAAACTATTAGTCCGGTTCCTGTCCCAAGGTGATTGTGCAACAAATGCTAATTCCCTTCTCTCCCACTTACTAAATTGACACACATAGTATAACATACTATATTCTCAAGCCACACTAATATATAGGTCTTCTGTATGATTGTATGAGCATCTTTTTTTTCTTTTTAAGATTTATTTATTTATTTGAGAGAGCGAGAATGAGAGAGAGAGAGAGTACATGAGAGGGGGGAGGGTTAGAGGGAGAAGCAGGCTCCTCGCCGAGCAGGGAGCCCGATGCGGGACTCGATCCAGGGACTCCAGGATCATGACCTGAGCCGAAGGCAGTCGCTTAACCAACTGAGCCACCCAGGCGCCCTGTATGAGCATCTTTATAAAATTACACTAAGTAAGCAAAACTCATCGAAGCATAAGAAAGTTGCTTATGAGAAATCTGAAATTAAAATCACTTGTAGTGGCAAATTATCAAGAGGATGGTAAAAAGAAACTTCCCTCTGAACAGTACTCATTTTTCAGAGCTCCTAGGAGGGTGTCTGACTCCTCTGTCCTTCAAGGATCCATCAGACTTAACCAGAATATAAAGCCAAGAGCTCCAGTTGTCAACGATGGAAAGATGTCACTTGATTTTAAGAATTCAAGCACGTCTGATGAGTGGGTTTTGAAGTGTGTTCTGGTAGGGTGTTAATTGGTGTTAAAACAGCAGCAAAGTTCCAGAGCCAAATGCATTTGGGAAATCCTGAGCAGACCAAAGCAAACCACGTTTTGTTGCTGTGAGACCTCACTGGGTTTTACCACGGTGATTTTCCCACTCGCGCAAGAGAAACCCATGTAAGTGCCGTTGTCAGGGGTCGGGCACGGGGGCCGATATTAGGCAGGAAGGGTAGAGCATCTTCCCCTGGCACTGACTGACAGAAAGCCTGTGAGCCGTGTGGCTCCAGACACGTCCACCTTCTGGAAAACTGGCCCCATGTGGCCCTAGCAAACTGTCATGGAGATTCGGAGCATCGAAGTCAAAATAGAAACAGGAAGTAATGTGCAGGCCACCCCCTTAAGCATCAAGATAGGACACAATGTCCTTATTTGCCACAGTATGATAAGAGCTTAACACACACTCACAAGCACATGCACACATGCGCATATATGTACACACACACAACTATGAAAGCACAGAATTGCGAAAGTGGCAAGACTGATGGCCCTGGTGGATTTTGGCAACTCATCTGAAAGGCCAGAAGATGGGCAACAAGGATTTGGGGAATACAAACATGGCCTAAAATGTTGAATTTGGCAGATCTCCCCTTGCCTGTCACTCCAATTACGAATTTGAAATTGTAGCCAAAGATAAATATCTTTCCTTCCATCAAAAAACTGTGTAGGTGTTAAAACCTGCAATAATCTGCACGGATTCTTGCTGTCAGTCTTTGCCTCCCAGGCTTAGGGACTTTTCAGCCTTTCCGTTCCCACTCCACAAAGTTCCCACCAGCAAGATGGCAGGCTTTTTTTCTTTTTTTTTAAACACTGTCACTTGCCCGAAGCACGTTTCAGTTAACTGTGGACCACAGAACCAGGAGAAACGTGGGAGTGAAATCTATTTTGGGTGAGCCTGAGCAGAAGCTTCTGCCCCTGGACCGGGAAAGTGCTAAAGCGAGATTATCTGTTCAGAGCACTCAGGATCCTCTCAGCGCAAGATCGGTGCCACACAAGAACGACAGAGAAATGCAAAAGAAAGATGGTCGGTTCTTCAAAGCTCAGTGCAGTTTTCCCTGCTGGACGTCATGAAACATTCTAATTGGGGTTTCACTTTGAAATTTTTATTTGAGGAGTTCATGTTGCACTATAGCATTTCTTTTAACTTTTCTGCCCTGACGCAAATTTTTCAGGCTCTTTAAGAGCTTCGTATATATTTGTTGAGTAATCCTGAGATCGCTCTGAGTTTTGAGGAGTTTTTGTGATCATGGGTCATAAGGAAAGCATTTTTTAAGTACAGTTTGACTATCTGTGAAAACTGCCTAGCAACCATCCCTGTATCTGCCAGTCTAAATTAGCAGGTCTTCATCACAATGATTAGCCCATTCCCCTTGGGTGCGCTCTTTAGCCAACAAAATCCCCAAACTCTGCTGGTCACTGTTTCTTGGTGAAAGAGCTAGGTGGTGAATTTAGATTCTCCACCCTCATTCAAACCCTTGAAACTTTTCTTTCCAGAGTTTATGCCTCTTCAAACTTTTCATCAATGGATCCCAGTATCATCCCAGTTATTACATTGTTAATTATCCCGTCTACTTCCCTCCCTATACAGAGCTGAAAATGTTCCAGAAGTACAATTATAGAAACTTCATTTCTAAGGATTTTGAGCACCTCACAGGTGTAACTTATATTGAGGTAAAATTCAGAGAACATAAAATTAACCATTTTAATGTATGCAATCCAGTGGCATTTAGTACATTCACAATGTTGTGCAATTACTACCTCTATCGAGTTCCAAAATCTTTTTATTACCCCCCCGATAGACTCCATACCCATTACGTAGTCATCGTCCATTGCCCCCCCACCCCCACCCCCAAGCCCCTGGCAACCACTAATCTGCTCTCTGTCTCTATGAATTCGCCTATTCTGGACATTTCATACAAATGGATCATACAATACGTGGCCTTTTGTGTCGGGTTTCTTTCACTTAGCGTAACACTCTCAAGGTTCATCCACATTGTTGTGTGTATTAGTACTTCACTCCTTTTTATGGATGAATAATATTGCATCGTATGGATAGACCCACAAGTGTAATTTTTATAGCCAAAATACATATCTTTATAAAATACAAAGTTTTAAGAGCCGTTAAGAGACACAAGAGGAGATACATCTCCTTAGGTAACCAGGTTGAAATTTTTCTAGATTAAATGGAAGAATATAGACCTAGCTGCCAGCTTAGCTTTGTGACTTTGTATAAATGAGCATCAATACTCTTAATTAGAAAATAGCTAGATTTGGGTGCCTGGGTGGCTCAGTTGGTTAAGCGACTGCCTTCGGCTCAGGTCATGATCCCGGAGTCCTGGGATCGAGTCCCACATCGGGCTCCCGGCTCAGCGGGGAGCCTGCTTCTCCCTCTGACCCTCTTCCCTCTCATGCTGTTTCTCTCAAATAAATAAATAAATAAATTAATTAATTAATTAATTAATTAATTAAATAAAATCTTTAAAAAAGAAAATAGCTAGATTTAGAGCTGAACCATTTCAGAGTGTTGCTTTGCTGACAAATTTCCAGCACCCTACATAGTACCCTACACATAGTCGGTCCTTGGTGGTGTTTACCAAACTTTGTGAAATACCCAGATCAACAAGATTACGGGTCTAGCATAGTCTGATATGCTCAGACATGGTTTATGTCATGCCACAATTGTATCGTTTTTAAGAGGATCGCTTGCATTTTTTAATTAGTCAAAAACATTCTGCTCTTAGGAACTGAAGTTTGCAAATCAACTTGAGAGCTTAACACACACATAGCAGGAGATGGTCTCATAGCAGGAGAGCCATATTTACCAAAACGTTGCTTTATAGTTTATAAATGAGAACTCTTAACTTGCAACTGTAAATGAAGAGGGAAAATGGTGCATCCACTGGAGGAATTTGTGAGAAAGCTCATGAATATTTTCCATGGCATCTGCTGGGAATATGGTGCAAAAAAAAAAAAAAAAAAAAAAAAGAATATAAGGAGAACGAAATGAGCCAGACAAAAACTCCTTTTTTAAATGTTTATTTTAGAAAGAGGCTAGTAATTGATTAAACTAATCCAATATCTGGAAACATTCTTTTTTAATCTTCACTTTGCCTTTTATGCAGTTTGAAATTTTGGAGACTCCTCTTTGAAGTGGAGCAGGGTCGAGTCTGAAAGGAACAAACAGTTTCCCAGACAGATGTGTGAAGAAATGCCTGGAGCTATGTGCTTCTCTCTGGGGTTAGATGTGAAGGGGCCAGGCTGTTAAATACATGGCAACATGAAATATGAATATTCTTTCACCTCCGTGGGGAATTTTTTTCCGATAGTAAAAAGGAAGGGGGGAGCAGCCATTCTACTGTTTCCCCAAATCCTTTGCCTCGTCTTTAAGCTTGCATTCATTTGCATTGTGTTGCTGTGTTGTGCCATTCCCAGGTTCTTTTTGAGGCTCCCATGGAAGAACAGCACTATTTTAAAATGATACTTCTTTTCCTTTTATTTCTTTTCATTCCTAGGCGGCAACGGTGAAAGGCATCTTGACATTTCTAAAAAGTTGTTTTGTTTAAATTACAGAGTCTCCATGGCAACTGCATCATCCCAGGTCCTAATTCCTGAAATCAACCTCAATGACACATTTGACACCTTTGCCTTAGATTTTTCCCGAGAGAAGAAATTGCTAGAATGTCTGGATTACCTTACAGGTATGTCTTGTGTGTGTGTGCGTGCACGTGCGCTTTAATATTGTGTACGTTCAGTGATACACATACTTTCCCACCACGTCGATTCCCTAAAAACCAGAGGTGTGGGCTCTTGGTTTAGGAACGGAGTCTAGTATTCCCATAAATGATTTCTGGCACACTTTTTTTTTCCCACCCGAAACGACCAAACTGGGGACAGAGGTCCCAGACCAAACTGGGGACAGAGGAAAAGGGAGACTCTCGAGAATTAAAAACATACTTCCGACCATTTTCCCTCCCTCTCAGAGTATGGGTGCCACAAATACCAGCTCTGCTGGCCATCAAAGAGATACATAAAGTAGCGTGGCTATTTTCCACTTCATCTCGGCAAGGCATCTGACTCTCACAGTGTCCTGGCAGAGAAAAAATTGGCAGCTAACTCTTGATTGGGTGTCTACTCTGCTTCAGCTCCTTGTATCCGAGACCTTGTATAATCTTCACACCATCAGACTGAGGTAGTGTGTTATAATCCTCATTTTGCAGATGGAGGTCACCCATCTTGCTGGAGGTCGGGTAGCTAGCGAGTGGCCGAATTAGGATTTGGCTTGGGTCCATACGGACTCCAAAGACCTCTTGCTCTTTCTGGTAAAAGACGTCATTTCATCTTGGCAAAAGGTCACCATGGCAAATGTCCCAAAAAATCACATGTGAATTCCTGGTGCCATGTTTCTGATAGACTTTTGCCTTTTTTTTTTTTTTTTTGGTCAAGCTTACAAAACAAAAGGAACCGCAATAAAAGAAAACCTCGGGCTACTCCTATTCCTAACCATTCAAAATTTTCTTTGCTGTCAACCTCCAGAATGAGAATTGAAATCATTCGCTGGTAGAATGTGGACTGTTTGGATGACCTTTATTTGTGTTAGCCAAAGCCACCAGTGCCTATGACTTTAGGAAGGTGCCAGAAGTGCACCGAACTGAGGACGTGCAGCCTTCGAGAGACCACCTCCCTAACTTAGCGTGGCATCAGCTTCCCCACTCCAGTTCCGTGTGCGCATGGTTGGGAAAGATGGAGCAGGAGAAAGGGAACATTGTGAGATGTTTGTTTTCATAGTCTGTGGATCAGAAGCGAGGAGTTTTATATCCAAGGGGCATGATACCCAGATAGGTTTTTTCTTTGCAAGAAGCCGAGGTGCTGTTTTTAGCCTTTCTGCATTTGCAAGGGAAGCAGTCATCCCACAAACTTCTTATCTTACGTCATTCTTTCAAGCCATACCACTCCTATTAAGGAAGAAAGAAGTTGACTCCAAAATGCACTTGCAGTAAGGAACCAAACTTGGTTTCAAGTATTTGTTAATTTACTGCCCTCCTTTTTTAAGCTTTTAACTCCGGAGTCTGTCTAAACTAACACTACCCCCTAGAACCTTCCACAGTGATAAAAACATTCTGTATCTACACTGTCCATTATGGTAGCTGCTGACCACATGGGGCTATCAAAAACTTGAAATGTACATAGTGAGTCTTTACTTTTGACTTTAATTAAACTTAATTGAAATATAAAAAGCCTGTGGCTACTGTATTAGTGCAGGTCTAGACTTTCTCTGGCTGAGCTGTTTTTCATGATGGCATCCTATGAAAAAAATCTCTTTTTTTTTTTCTCTGACATCATTTGGGATTGAGTATGATTGCAACAACAGAAAATCCAGTTAGCAGTGACTAAACCCAGCAAGGGGTGTTTGTATCACACAAACCCGAGCACGGAGGTATGAGCTCCAGGCCTGGGCAGCAGCTCAGGGAGGACCTCAGACCCCAGGCTGTTGCTCTTTTTCTACTCTGCTACCTTTGCTGTGTTGCCTTTTTGCCACATGATCACAGCACAGCTACCCCGCCTCCATGCCATCGTGCTCAAGTTCCAGGTAAAAAGAGAGGGACGCAGGGGAAACGGGGACAAAAATCTGTCTTTATTAGGAAAACAAAAAGCTTGCTCAGAAGACCCATCTGGCAAATTCCCACTTGTGTCTCGTGGGCCAGATCCACGTCACAAGGTCATGCCCAAGGACAAAGAGGACTGAAAGACTGTTGGGCCAGGCACATGACCTTTCTGCACAAAATCAGTGTCTTGTTGACCTGAGTGTGTCCTCCCCATTTCCCAAGAATCGTCTAATGGTGTTCCGGTGGGCATATGTTCACGGGCTATGTCTGCGTGCGAATGCCAAGGCAGCGATTAGAGGGGAAAGTGTGAAAGTAGTTCGCACTGACTAGGACCGTGTATGCCATATATCATCCCGATGGCTGTTTATGCCAAGCTTGAGACCACATGGGGTACCTGCCATTCTGCCTTCTGAACGTCAAACCTCAAATACAAATCTGGCCCATTTCTAGACATAACATCGATCCTGGCCATAACATATGATGCTTGGCTGATATTGCCAAGTCCAAATAGTTTATCAGACATTTGTAAGCAGGAAATGAAGTGTTTGTGGAGTATTAGCCCACCATTTCTCATGTCCTGTTTATGACAGAGGCAAGAAAATAACAGTTCTGCTACCAATCCCACGAATATTGAAATTGGCAGCGTGCTGCTATTCTCATTTACGGTAAATTGGGTATTGACTTTTCACGACAAACCCATTGGGCTTATAATCAAAACAGGGTTAGCCTGCGTGGCTGTGAAAACAAGATTTTTTTTTTTCTCCCCGTGACAAGCCTCTAAGTGGTATGTCAAGTTAATAACCCAGAGAGGTGACATTTCCTCCCCAATCACAGCTACTGCCATGTGTCTCACAGCTACTGGCTTATTTTGAGCGTAAGTTTGCTTTCTATTTAATCCCGTATTGCAATGCAGAAAGGACGAAATCTTTCTACAGTGGTTGATGGAAAAGTAATTCAGTGGACTGCTTAGGTTATGGGAAAATAAGCATTTCTCCACCGCTCCCTCCCGGGTGATGGCACACCAACAGGGACCACACAGACAATCATAAGGACATTTTATGGTGCAGCTGGGCCTCCCCCGTGGAATGCTTCTCTGGCTTCGTGTCGCTGATTCATGCACATCCAAGTCACAGCACATGACACTAAATCTTGCATGTGGATACTTCAGGAGACAGATGTATAAATACGTAGTCCAAAAAGAACGCTTTCGGGGCTCTATAGAGCCCTGCTGTCCTAATACATGACTTAATGCGGTGCCTGCCCACGTGTATAGGTGGAATTCACTAAGCAAGAAACAAAGCTGGTCTAATTGACTTTATACAACAAACATAAAAGTTACGTGCTGTGTATGGTATTTGTCCTGGACATCTCGTCAGCGGACAAAATGAAGAAGCCTAAAACAATTCGAGTTTTCCGTTTACCATTTTTAAGAACTCATCTCCTTCTTTGGGTTTGTTTCGGACTCCTCAGTCCTAATCAAAGTTAAGAGCAGGAAAGAACTCTCCAATAGTGTGAACAGAGGTTGCTACAAGTCTATAGAATGCAGATATGTTTCTCCTTTTGAAGTTAGGTTCTCGTATACAGAAGAGTGGCAATAAAGGCCCGGATCGATTCTCTAAACCAGGGGTTGGCAAACTTTGACTATAAAGGGCCAGATGGTAAATACTTTAGGCTTTGCAGGACATATGGTCCCAACTACTCAACTCTGCTAGTGCACAAAAGCAGCCACAGACAGTACATAAATGAATGAGCCTGGCTGTGTTCCAATAAAACTTTATTTACAAAAACAGGCAGTGGGCCAGATTTGGCCCATAGCCATAGTTTGCCAACCCCTGCTCTGAAATACTGTTGCCAGTGCAGAGCACTCACTGCCTAGTCTTTTTCTTGCTCACAAACTCTTCTCATAAAACCAGTTACGGAAATCAAGCCAGTAGATTTTGAGTCAACTTCAATCATTATTTTGGTAGGATTTAGACTTCTCTGCTCCAGACTGTGTTCAAGACATAAAACAGCAACCTTCTCCAGTGATAAAGTTAACCAAATGCCAAGGAACCAGAGAGAGAGAGACAGTGAGAGAGGGAACACAAGCAGGGGGAGTAGGAGAGGGAGAAGCAAGACTCCCCACTGAGCAGGGAGCCTGATGCGGGATCCCAGAACCCCAGGATCTTGGACTGAGCCACCCAGGCGCCCCAGGTGTTTTTTTTTTTTTTTTAATAAGTCATCAAAACATTAAATGAAAAAATTTTCAAACAATTATTTGACTGGTTTGTTATAGGATAACAAACATTGGTATTTTTCCAGTTGGGTATATAAATATAAACATAAGTGACCTCACAAAGCTCCGAGGTTGGCAAACTTTGGCTCGTAGGCCAAATCTAGCCCTCACTGGTTTTGTGAATAAAATTTTACTGGAAGCTGCCCACGTCCATATGAGTATGAATTGCCCATGGCTGCCTTCATAGTTCAGCAGTAGAGTTGAGTAGGTACAACAGAGACCATATGGCCCGCAGAGCCTAAAATATTTACCACCTAGCCCTTTAGTGGAAAAGTTTGCCATCTCTCCCCAGTGTGGATGAAATCACAGAAGTTCATCTTGTTTGGTTTTTGTTTAATATTTTTTTTTCATGGATAAGAGTATTATTTGCTTAACCTCCTAAACGTACTTTCATGTGAAATAGAGAAAAGTCCCTACTGGCTGGCTAAGTCACGCTACCTGTTAACAATCACAGCGGCAACCAGCCAACCGAACGTTCATTCTTTGGATTGGGGTCATCACCTCTGGGATGGATAGTGGTCCTGATGGACCTGTGTAGAAAGGCCTGCTATGACTGTCACACATCTCCTCTGAACTGTGTCCCGGAGGTGCCTGCCTCTTTGCTGATGAGCATTCTTGATCCCCACAGCTCCCAACCCTCCCACGATTAGAGAGGAGCTCTGCACCGCTTCCTATGACACCATCACCGTTCATTGGACCTCTGATGATGAGTTCAGTGTGGTTTCCTATGAGCTCCAGTACACCATATTCACCGGACAAGCCAACGTTGTTAGTGAGTATTGCACCCCGTATCGATTTCTCTGTTTGGTGACTGTTTTCAGTTAGATCGCATTTCTAAATTGAAGCGTCAAGAGAAGACGAGGAAGGAAGGAATACACAGTATGTATTGGCTGCATTTCCTAACCAAGAAGATGATAGCATTCACTTGTACTATACTAGCAAAAATAGCGGGCCAAAGAGTGGTGAACATTAGTGATCTCTAGCAGACCACACGGATGCGTCTTACAAACATATGGTTAAGGGAAAGAAGCAGGAAACAAAAGAATACATGCAGTATGAATCTGTTTATACAGTCATAATTTAAAGATTAAAAAGAAAACTATTTTGTGGGGCACCTGGGTGGCTCAGTCGGTTAAGTGTCCGACTCTTGATTTTGGCTCAGGTCGTGATCGAGCCCTGCATCGAGCTCCACATTCAGCGGAGAGTCTGCTTGAGATTCTTTCTTCTTCTGCCCCTCCCCCCACACTCGCACATGCACATGTGCACTCTCTCTCTCTCAAAGAAATAAATCTTAAAAAAAGAAACTGTTTTGTTTAGAGATGCATACATAGGTGTAAAAACTACAAATAAAAGCGAAGATGATGGTTACTTCCGGGATGGGAAGGGAGTGGCACCATTGGGAAGCAACACATGGGGGGCTCATGGGGTTAACTACTTTCTGGGTGGGAGGTACATGGTTTAGTCATTATATCATACATTTAATATTAACTACTTTTCTGAGTGTTGTTTCGCAATGTAAAAAAAGAATTTAATAAAATGGATAGCCAAGCAATGCCAAATACCGCGTCCCGTTTGGAGGAGAGCAGGCCCGTCATTTGAAATGTTAGTCATTGGCCCCCACCTGGGAAGAATTTCAGACCTGACTTGAAACACAGAGAGGTCCTTCTCTAACCGGGGCCCGAGCCCGTGAGATATTTGGTATCAGAGACAATTTGATGATCTCAGCCCCAGTTGCTGGCCAGAGAGGTGATAACAAAGGAATCTCTCCTCCTTACCCCCACAGTTATTCAAATTGAGTTGAGTAAATGGGAAAGGACCAGAAGAAGTGGCTTTCCAGGGGAGCAAGTTTGAAACTTCTTTAGCAAATTAAAATAGAACATGTCAAAGTAGAATAGAATAGAATAGAATAGAATAGAATAGAATAGAATAGAATAGAATAGAATAGCAGTCACTTTTCAACAAAGAAATGTTTTGAATAAACGCATATCGACTGAATGTGCTTTTATTATATACACCTCTTCTCCGTTAACCACACTGTTCTTTCCTAGCACAAGTAATTCTGAGGTGCGTGATGCTTAAAAAAGAAATTAGATTTAGGATTAATTAAAAGAGTGATATGTGAAGACCCCCGCCCCCGAGTAACTGAAGTAGCGCTGGCTCATACCAACAACTGGACCCCCCAGCTTCCTTAGATCCTCGTTTCCCAGGCTTCCCTCCTCAACCCTCTGACCTTCCACTCTCTAATTGGCCTGCCTTGGAAGCTGTTATTAAAATCTTCCCATTTTCCAGGAATGTATAAGGGGGAAAAAAATCACAAAATGGCCAGCTGCCGGAGTAAGAGGGCAGACGTGGTGGGTGTAACAAGAATGTCTTGGGGGGAAATGATGGTTTAACTAAGTTTTGAAAGAGAGTGGGTACATATCAGCAAGTTAAGGGGATGCCAGGCAGCCACATCATCGGGGGCAAACCTGTGGAGACAGAGAATAGCAAGGCATTTTCTGAGACATCGTCTACTCAAGCCTGGCTGGAGAACTGAGTGGGGAAGGGGAGACGGTGGGAAACGAAGACAGAGAAATAGAACCAGGACTCAAACCCATATAGGTCTGGTTCCAGAAAGCACATGTTCTTAATCATCAGTCTCTTAATCCTAACCCACAGTAAAGACCTAGACCACCGAGGGCCACTCGGGATACACGGTGTGGGATTTTTCCCTATGGGCTTGGGTGTCAGTCACACAGAGCAGCAGTGCGATCAGATATATGGTTAGAAGCCCCCTCAGGCAGTGCCGTGGAGGATGGAGTAGAACAGGACAAAACTAAAAGCAGAGACATGAACTTGTTTTAAGTCCATCCATTTTTTATTTACAGCAAGAATTGCAGCTGAGTTGATAGAGTCCTGGTCCCTAACAGAGCTAGGATGCTAGACTTCTCCTCCTCTGGCCCATATCCCCGGGAAACACCCTTACCATCTTCAGCTATTTGAAGTGCTTTTGGGGGCAAGTCTAAGCAGCACTGGTATATCAATGCCTTGGCATCATTTTGCTCTCCTTTCAGGACTTTGGATTCTTCTGGTATTGCTCCTCATCCCTAGCTCTACGTGCCCCTCTACAAATCATGAAGAAATACTAACTTCCCTAAAAATCTTTCTTTTTAGTAAGTAATGCACGAACACTGTGTAATAATGTATAAAATGTCTACAGTGACACTTGGTTGTTTTTCAATATGGCAGCCACCCTGTTTCCAAAGTTACCCACTGCACCAACTCCGTTTCACACGCATCTCTCCTGTGGTAGTCTGTTAATACCCAAGGGTGCACATACACTCACACACACCTAGGAATACATTTTTTAGGGACACAAAAGGTAGCAGGCCAAACACAGTTCTTTACCTTGCTTTTTTCACCCAGAACAATCTCTCTTGATTAACTCAGAAACAACTGGTCAGGGACCTTAAGTACATTTACCAACTCCCTTCACCTTTGCCATATGATGTACCACCAAGGAGTGATAACGATGATAGGACTTTTGTCCTTTGCATACTCTGTTGGTTAGAAGCAGGTCACAGGTCTTGCCTACGCTCAAGGAGGGCGAATTACACAAAGTCATGAATAGTATGGAGTGAGAATCATAGGGGCTACCCCAGGGCGTATCCACCATAGATGGTTATGTCTTTCCTGAAGTGTCTTGAGGCGAATTTTTGTGGGCATTTGGACAGTACATAGAGCTTTGGCCTGGCCTGGCAGGCCCTGTATCAATTGGCTTTGGCCGATAGGCCAATAACCACAGAAGTTAAGGAGCATATAACAATAAACATGCATTGCCTGTGTGTCTGGAATCAGGCTGACCTTGGTGAGGCTCCGTCGCGGTCAGGCTGCGGACTGGGGAGGCCGGCTGCCGCACGGCTCCCCCCTGCGGTCCCACGCGGGCACGTTCTCCTGGGGAGCGCAGTGCGTGGCTCTAAGGACAGGCCCGCTTGCACACATGCTTTGCAAGCCCCTGTCTTTGTCACGTTAGCTGATGTGCCAGAGGCCAGAGCAAGTCCCACAGGTGAGCCCAGAGTCAGAGGGCCTGCGAGGTTCCATGGCAAAGGGTATGGAAACGCGAGGAGCGAGGACGTGGAGCCAGAAGGCGATACACTCTAGAACCCTGACTCGATCCCAGTGTTTCCCTCCATCCCCCGAATGAAAAGAAGAGATCTATTGCTTGAAACTTAGGGTTTCTCTGGGACTGACTTGGCTTCCATGCGGTTGGCATGAAAAATAATACCAAAACAAGACATCTAAGTGGAATAGATGCGAAAAGGCCATGCCTACAGACATCCACCAGCAGCGACACCACTGAATTCAGAGCTCTGTGCTCGGTGATTCCAGAGACGGTGTTTTGTTCCCTGAAAGCAGTTGCCACAAGAAAATAAAGGGGATCGACTTCATGAAGGTGACAGACCTTGCTTATTTGATGGACAGATGTCAGAAAGGCTATTCCTCCCAGGACCGATGGAAGTCAGGGAAACTGCAGGTGCCCATCCGACTGGGGTACTCTCATCAGCTTGTTAGTACTGAGAGCTCTTTGTCTCTTGAACGTCCATTAAACCAGTAGAGTGAAGTCCTGAGGCCTACAGGATCAAATCGTAACAATGAAAGAATATATGTAGATAAAAAAGCAATAGTTCTTCTTAACTATTATATGTATTTCTAATGGCCGAGAGAGACCTGGATTTGAATCCCAACTGTGGACCTCACTAGCTCCATAATTTGGGACAAATTATTTAACAACCCCTGAATCTGTTTCCTCATCTGTAAGAAGAGGTAATGTTTTAACTTCCCATGGTTGAGATAATAAAAGCATAGGTCTGAGCCCTGTGCTTGCCACAGTGTGAGCACAGAGGTATTCAAAGTTATGATTCCTACAAAAATACGGCTACACTCACCCGTCATTGCATTTTTTTAAAAGCTGATGTTTTGGGTCATAGGATAAAGATCAGTCGTGAAATTAGCCAGGATTACCTACATGATGGCATTTTACACGATCTTCATGTGCAAGGCCTTCCCTGAATGTTGTTTGTCCATCTGTCCTACCATTTGGAGGAATATCCTTTTTGGATGTTGTTACATTGAATGACAAGAGCTAAGAGTAAAACTGTACCGAAAATTAGAAGACCAAATGCCCCAAAACTGGCCATAGCTCCTCGCGCCACTAGGAATCTTGGACTGCCTGTAGGTCATGGTTCCTTCACTTGTCATAATAAATTCTAGTTAATTGCCCACAACTGACTTCAGTGAGGGAGAATTAGATAATATCTGTGAAGCTTTTAATCTTATAAAAAGGCTCTCCCTAATCAAATTCATATATTCAAATGCAAAATTAATGACACTATTAATTTTTTATTATGCATTTTTATTAAGACTTAAGCCTACAGATGTTAACGAATTGCTTATTAATAAGTAGATATGTATTTAATTTTACAACGTTTCTCATGTTTTTTCCGAAACCACTTCCAGTGCACCATTTAAAATCCTAAATGGGGCCTTTTCCCAGCGGCCTATTTTTATTATTAGCAAAAGTCCAAAGATGCGTTTCTCCGGGTCTCCATGACGAGGTAGTTATCTGTATTTAATTAATTTTAGTCGTTTTGAAAACATTCATGAGCGTTACTAAACAGATACTATTTTTACAGAGAAGAAGGAAAAGAATGTTCACTTCTGTCCGATCTGGTAGCAGAAACAAAGGATGCCTCTCTGAGGGGTGTCCGTGTTGCGTAATGTTTTATACATAATGTTTTACTGCAAGATGACAGTTGCTATACAAAGCTCTGAAATCCCAAATGTAATTAGGATCTTGTAATGAGCAGCATTATGTAGGGAGATGCTTCTGACCCATTGTGAACGAGAACAAGATATATAAAATTGAAAAACTCAATTAAGTTTCATTATGAACTAATTATCTCCCAAGTTCCATTGTTGTTTTAATACTCGAAGCTGAATTAGAGAAGGTGGATGTCGGAATACTCTCAAAGATGATTGAAAACGTGTTTGGAGAAAAGTGAAGCTTCAGTGCAAGATGGTTACATGGGTGTTTCATAAAGAGATGCATAAAACCTGGTCAACGGCCCCGACACAGTGGGGTATCGAGGCAGACAGGTCTGGCACTTGGCACCACACGCAAGACGTTATGTGGTGTTGGCCCAACACCAACACTAGCAACTTAGTAATGGTGTGCTCAGAGGCACCCCCTTACTCCAGCCCCCAGAAGAAAATGGTCGATGCTGCTTTCTTGGCATTTTTAATCAACTTCTCAATTACTATCCTGACCATAATAATAACCGAAAGGTAAGCCGCCACAGAAATCGTGAGCGTTCGCGAGAGCAGATTGTCCCAGTGTAAAGCTGTCCAATCAAATTTTACTACTCCATAAACATTTTTGTTCTTTTAATATTCGAGGGAAAAAAATTAGCGACCTCTTCAAAATAGTCAGGATGCTTGGGGGTCCCTTTTCTGTTTGGAAAAGGGTTCTGAAACATTAAATCTTTTTTGTTGGGTTAAGGCTTTGGATTATAGGCCAAGTTGCCGTTCATAGCGATTTCAGACATCTGTTTGATGATGTCACTGAAAGCATCCCCCCACCACATGAAGCCCAGCTTTTCGGTTGTACAGTGATGTAAAGTTTATTGAAACATTTTTACATTTGCTTTCTTTGACCACAATAATCATTTTCCTGTAACATATGCAATTAAACAGGAACAGTGTAAATGCAGTGACATTGATAGGATTCTCATTCGATTCTACTGAATGTTGTTACTGTTTTCGTTCGTGCTTGACTGCTGTTGACAAAGGTTTAGGATTGCCTAGGATTATCCTAGGCAATAGAAAAGCTCATTGTTTTTGTTTTATTGCTGTTGTAAGATCACGATTAAATATCTAAAGTGAGTCGCAGGCTTCTTGGGGCCCAGAGCTCAGAGTTCAAAATGCCCCTTCTTTGGTCGGATCTAAATCTGTGATTTGGCCGTGGCCCTGTCCAGAAGCATTGAGCATATTACAGCTATATTCAAGGAGAAGGTAAGGTGAAAAAGTAGCAAAAGGGAAATGTAGTAAGGAGAGTCCCATGTTACTGAACCACTGGTGGGTGTTTTCCCGCGTCTTACACGAGTGAGAATCAGTGGGAGAACAGAGGGCTAAGAGTTGGGGGAAAATTGGGGGTGGGGTGGGAGTGCGGGTGAATGGTGCCTCGGTTGAGCGCACTCACACGTTCAACCGCTTCCGTGAGCCTCCCATCATTCCCTTGCTTTATGCTGGTTTTATCAAATCTGGCGGTGCTGCTGGTGAAATGTTCGCAGGTGGAGATGAAAAGAGGTGATAGAGAACTCTCGGGGTCAGATCTGACCTTGTGAGTTTATTATACGTGTGTGAGTTTATATATGTATATGACTCAGTGGAGGGCGTCTAAAAAGACTGTGCTTCCAAGGTACAGATCGTATGAGGTGAAGTTTCACACTTGACAGAATACTTCTAAGGTTCTTCTCAACTGTGAGACTAGCATGAACAATGTCTAACTCAAAAGTTGGAGAAAGTATTTAGTAGGATTCAAAGACAGATGTCACGGGGCTGTGAATATCTTGGAATGCCATGCAAATATTTGTGGCTTGGTATGGATCTGCACATGTGACTTTCCTTCTATAGAAATGTTTTATTAGATTCTCAAAGAGGTGAGACCAAAGAAAGATTAAGGGACTGCTTCTTGGGATTACAGTAAGGTATAAGTTGCCTCAAGATCAAAAGAACTAACTCTTTGACTTGCAAATCCATTGAAAGGGAAAGGGTGGGGGGGGTTGGAGCCCCTCAGGAAGTGGGGGGGCTCAGCCCTCTACCAAGAACTGGTGAAGGAAATTCACCAGAGTCAGGAAACTTCATGACAGCCAGTCACCGGGGGGCTGGGCAAAGGTTCTCTCAGAGTGGAGATTGATGGGTGGAGAGAGGAGAGCTGGGCCCAATACCAAAGAGATGTTTTCAGCATCAGCGAGCTGCAAAACAAAACGGGCTTCCTTTTCCCTGCATGTTCTTCCAAGCATCGTAAATCCTCAGCCTGCCCCCCAGCCCACATCCTGCAGAACGCAGCCCGAGCAGCGGCCCCGCTCTCCTCTGAAACCAGCCATGCGAGGGAATACAGCTGGTCCGAATCCCCGTTCATGCTTTTCTAAGAGCTACACTGGGCCCTGGGCTGCCCGTGGGTGCCACCGCTCCGCGCTTCTCCTAGGGACATGCCTCCTGAGTTGGTTAACTGCGGCCATGCTAATGCTGGAACGCCAACAACCCTGATGATCGCTTTCTTAGCTCCCCACTCAGAAGTTGGGCCAGTCTCTGCTGGCCTCACTCCTGCAGGGGCGGGGCGGTAGAAGTGTTCCCTGTATCGCTCATCCTGCTGGGACAAGAAGACTTGTCTGGGGAATGTTCTCCCCTTGGCAATGGCAGAGGCCCAAGGTGTCGACGGAAATTCTCGAGGCCTTGGAATGCCTACTCTTGCAGCTTGCGCCCCGCCACTTCAGCCTCATCCCATCGGCCCGAGCAAATCGCACGGCCAAATCCAAAGCCGTGTCACAAGGGAATACCTCCCATCTCTGCAAAGCTGCTTAGGCCTGGGTCTGGGGCAGGGTGCAGAATCAGAGGCACAAAAGCAATCTACTACATCTACATTCGTGGAGGCAACTTCTCTTACGTGATTCAGGTCTCTTCTCACCGGCTGTGAGGCTCAGAATTGATGAGATTCCAATTTAACGATCACAGTCATGAGCATGGGGTGGTGGGGGAGGCCGAGGGTGGAACCCGTGGTAACTCGCTGCTTCCTTCTCCTCGCCACGGCGCCTCACAACGCATCACGCACGGGCACCACGCGCAGCACTATCTGATAATAGATACGGGATGACACATAAATGATTACATCGCAGCAGTCCTGCCTTGGCTGCTCGTATGCTTACTGAACAGAGGCTGCGGTGTAATCATTTTGATGGGTTTCTCCATGTGGAGCACACAGTAGGACTATCTGATAATAGATACGGGTCGATCACCTACCGTAGGCAGGAGCCTGCACCCCCGAGTTTATCAGTGGGGGATCAGAGGTGCAGAGATGACAAAGCAGTGCGCCGTGTCTGCTTGGCTTTGCAGGTCTGTGTAACTCTGCCGACAGCTGGATGATCGTGCCCAACATCAAGCAGAACCACTACACGGTCCATGGTCTGCAGAGTGGCACCAAGTACATCTTCATCGTCAAGGCCATCAACCAGGCAGGCAGCCGCAGCAGCGAGCCTGGGAAGTTGAAGACAAACAGTAAGTGCCGTGAGCTCAGCAGAGCTGCCGCCTCCCTTCTGCTCTCCTTCCGGCCGCCTCTGTCCCCCTTTCTCCTCCTTCTCTGCCTCGGGCATCACCAGCAGCCCCGAGAAGCAAGTGGAGAGCCAGGGCGGCGGGGTGGAGTTGGCATCAGGCACCTCTGGGGTCCACGACTCACTCGCCCCTTAAGGGCCGTGAGTCCATCGACTTCTCTGCACTTCAGACCGCTCGCTTTTCAAATAAATAATCCTGGAGGGGTTCTGGTGAGAATTAGGACAGATATATATATATATATATATATATATATATATATATATATATATATATATATATATATACATGAAGCCCGATAGGTCGTTGGGGCTCTGCAAATGGCAAATTGTTTTCCGTAGCAGAAGAGCAAATTAATAACTCTTTCTTCGGGAACTCTTTGCTTTACTCCAGATACCTGTCTAGGTCTGTGGTTCTCAGTCAGAAGCAGTTCTGCCCTCCCTACTGCCACCGCCCCCAGGGACACTGAGCAATGTCTGGAGACATTTTTGGTTGTTGTAAGTGGGGTGGATGCTACTGGTATCTGATGGTTAGAGGCCAGGGATGATGGGAAACATCCCACACTACACAGGACACAACAGAGAAAGATCTGGCCCATACGTGTGTCTTGTAACACTGTCGTCTCCCTCGCTGTCTCTGCCCACATATGTTTTCTTTTATCCTCTCTTTTTCTTTACTATTTTTGATGTAGAAATATGTTCTGTAGCATGGAATTTCTTTGCATAGGACCTCCCAAGAGAAAGCAACTGGGAGTGTGTCAGTTTGGCACCATGTTAGGCAGTTGCCTCTGGTCAATGGGAACAGGTAACTGCTTTTCCAGAAGAACCCACACTTAACCCAAATCCTCGATTTCAGTGCTCACATAACTTTATTTGACTCCAGACATATACATGTTTAAGACACATACACTTAGACATTAAGCTAATTTCTCCTCTCAGTGTTTCTGCTGGTAAAGAAGGAAATCTTTTTAGAGATTAAGTAGGAAAAAAATAAGTAAATGTATACACTGAGGTTAATTCTGTAGAATATGTCTTTGAGACATCTGATTTGTACTTCATCAGTTTTCCTGCAGATAACGCATTCATTTCGTGTAGCCAGATAATGTCATCTTCTATTTCTAGACATGTAGTTATTGAACAGGTATAAACGAGGAGCTGGCAAACTTTTCTGCTGTGTGCCGAAAAGTGAATATTTGAGGCTACGCATGTCAGATGGTCTTGGTCACCATCCACTCTTCTTCACCTCTGCCATTGCAGTGCAAAATCTGCCGTAGATGACACATAAATGAATGGGCATGGCCATGTTTCAATAAAACTTTATTGACAAACACAGGCCCTATGCTGGATTTGGCCTGCAGGCTGTAGTTTGCCAAACTCCTACATGCACAATATTAAATTGAATTGAATTCTTTAGTAAAGTAAATGATTAATTTGGTTCTTGAACTAATTTGTCCTCACTGAAGCAAAAGCCTTGAACTTGGACAGAGTAGGTGATGGTGCGTTTGAGAAACACATCTGAGACACAGGTGGAATGTGCTCGCTGAGGATGCAGGGGTTGGGGTTGGGGCTGACCTAAGCTGACATGATCGCACTCCACGCGTGTGTAGGTGAGGGTGTGAGTTGAGGCCTCATTATGAGGCCAGTCTTTCTTTTTTTTTTTTTTTTAAAGATTTTATTTATTTATTTGAGACAGAGACCATGAGAGGGAGGAGGGTCAGAGGGAGAAGCAGACTCCCTGCCGAGCAGGGAGCCCGATGTGGGACTCGATCCCGGGACTCCAGGATCATGACCTGAGCCGAAGGCAGTCGCTTAACCAACTGAGCCACCCAGGCGCCCCATGAGGCCAGTCTTTCTGACGGCTCTACCATTCTGATGCTCCTCACTGGAAGAAAGACAAGCAGTGCACGGCCCTCCTCTTCAGTGATGGCTGCATTTACGAACACCCGCCCCCCCCCCCGCCCCGTCTGCCCATTCATGTCCCACCTGTTTTCACACGCATTCTCTCGTCCACCTTTAAAAATTGAAATATTGTAAGCAAAACTTACCTTCATACTCTTCTTGCCTTAGTTCATACTTTATCCCTAATAGTTGCTGGCGTGATCATTCCTGAGGACATTTGTGTTTCACAATACAAGCTGAAATTTAAACTCTGCACATAATCCCATAGCACTTAGAGCCCCTGAGAATGTCCGTGCCCTGATCCACACTTGAAGCTTTTTCTCAGCTCCCCCTTTAAGCTCTCCTGTGATGTGGACAGAAATCTGAAACGGGTCAGCAGACGATCCAGCCCACCAGCCAAATCTGGCTGCCGCTTTTTATAAATAAAGTTTTGTTGGCACACAGCCACACCCATCCATTTCCCTCTCGTCTCGGGCCACTTCCACGCTGCCACAGCAGAGCTAAAAATATCTATCTGGCCTCTTCGGAGAAAGGTATGCCGGCCCGTGTCATGTTCGTGTCCCGGTGGTGGCTAGAAATCCTCCGGTCCACCCGGACGTGACCTCACACTCATTGCCGCGTGCTCTCCGTGCCGCTGTCTCAGCCAGCGGCGTGCATTGCCCCGGCCAGTGTACCGAGCTCTGTCCACTGGCTGCCTGAGGGCGGACCTACCAGCTGCGGCCGTGGCCGTGGCCGTGGCCGTGGCCGGGGGCTTGGGACATCATGGTATTTGCATGCTCTCGTAACTCACTTCCTGCCTCTTAACACCCATGTGGTGTCGAATGACAGGCAGTCCTCCAGACCAGCGTTACATTCTCAAGGAAGTAACAGCTATGACAAGATGTTCGGGGTGACTCTGCCAAGATTTTCTGACGGTTCGACCTTCAAAACGCAAATGTGAATAATGAAATAGAGAGGGCCTTATTTTATATATATAAACTCAGGGGTAGAAATATATATATTTACAAACTCAGGAGTAGAAAACCCAGGTGTTATGATCACACTTTTTTCCCCTGATCTTGTTGTGGGCTGAAAAATGCACGTTTTTGTAGTCATTCTGAGCGCATGAGAATCATTTTAATTTGCAACAGTTTCAGAATAATGTAAAGCCTTTAGGTCAAAATCTGCAGTCTTGATTTCTTCGGCTTCTGGTCTGAAGTCTGCTGAGCACGAGCCACATTTTAAGCTGGATCGAATATGGGAATGGTTGAAAATGAAGTCTTCATTTTCTCCTTCCCTTGGGAATGCTGTTTAGCTAGTATGTACCAGAGCTGCATGTGTCCAGCTGGGACCCCCGAAAATAGCTTCTACCACATGTCGTGGCTGATCCCCGCCCATGCTACTGTTGAATCATTAGTCGCAGCAGCTCTGGATCCCTGTCTCAGAACTGACAGGCTGGGAATTTACGAAGGCAGGGGCATGTTTGTATTCACTATTTTACTGTGCTTTTAAAATCTGATCCTGCAGATACATTATTGGTCATGTTGAAATAAACGATCCTCTTCTTCTTCCTCTCTTTGTTTTGTAAACTTGTTCCCAGGCCAGCCATTTAAACTGGACCCCAAGTCTGCACATCGAAAGCTGAAGGTGTCCCACGATAACTTGACAGTAGAACGTGATGAGTCATCCTCCAAAAAGAGCCACACGCCCGAACGCTTCACCAGCCAAGGGAGCTATGGCGTAGCTGGAAATGTGTTCATTGATAGCGGTCGGCATTACTGGGAAGTGGTCATAAGTGGGAGCACATGGTAGGCAATGATATCTGTTGTCGTCCAGTCATAAAAAGGCACATCTCCTTCCGTACTTGGTCAGAGCATTAGTCCATTCCAGGGCCCGTCTTAAAGGAGACTATGCAGGAAAGCTTTTAGTCTGTTGTTGCCACGGTAATGCTGCATAACAAGCATCCCAAGACTTAGTGGCTTCATGTGTGGGTTCACTGTCAAGGCGAATCTCAGCCGGGCTTTGCTTTCAGCCGTAGGTTGCATCTGGGTCTGTTCTTTGTGTCTCTTCAGCCTCTTCGGATGTGAGGGCTCCCCGGGTCAGGTCTTTCTCGAGGAGCCCGAGAGCACGAGCCACAGCTAGGCAGGCACATTTCAAGCCTCTGCTTACCTCACTGTCTACTAACTTCTCATCGGCCAAAGCCAAAGCCAAAGCCGGTGGTCTAGGGAAGTATATCTCTCCCCCGGAGATGAGGAGGGAGTGAATGTTTGCAAAACAATCATCTAATCTTCCATTCAGCCAATAAGAAAAACAGCTTGTTTTAAGTCCATCCATTTTTTTTTTCTTTTTTATTTACAGCAAGAATTGCAGCTGAGTTGATAGAGTCCTGGTCCCTAACAGAGCTAGGATGCTAACACTGCTCTTTCGTGCCTTAAAACACGAGTCAGCCGACGACAACCAGCGGGCCAGACCTGGCCCTGTGCCTCTTTTTGTAAATAAAGTGTTGTAGGAACACGGCCATGCCCATTCTTTTCCACATTGTCTGTCTATGGCTGGGCTTTGAGCCACACGGCAGAGCTGAGCAGTTAAAATAGAGCCCTATGGTCCACAAAGCCGAAAATAGTAACTCTCCAGCTCTTTACCAAAAACGTTTGCCAATTCCTACTCTAGAACATTACTCTTCATCATTTGAAGAGAACGAATTTCTGTTGCCTTGTATGTTTTGTGACTCCAGACTGGGCCGACGACTGGAAATAGTCAAGAGCTGAGGGGCTGAGGCAGGGATCATAGGCTGGGAATCCTTTCAAACGGTCTGTTAGCCCAGCGAGCTCTCTAAACCCAAGGGTGTCGGTCAGGCCCAGAACATTCCAACGCGGTGTCTGCGTTGGAATGAGCTAACCTTGCCTAGTTAGCCTCACAAAGCTGACCTTGTCTGTTCCACAGCCACGCACTGCACCCCTTCTCCGGCTGGCTGGCTCACAAACACCTGTTCGCTTTTGCTCTTTTATTTTTATTTAACCAGCCCTCATCTAGCACAACCATGTGCCAGGCACTGGTCTAAGCATCCCACAGTTGGTAACTCGTTCATTCATCTTAGCAGCCCCGCAGAGGCAGTTGCTGGCTCGGTGGGCCAGGTGATTTTTATCCCGACTACTCAACTCTCCGGTTGTAGTGGGAAAACAGCCACAGACCGTGTGTCTGTGACTGGGCGTGGCCTTGCACAAATACAACTTTAATCAGCAGAGGGCCAGATTCGGCCCATGGGTTACAGTTGGCTGATCTCTGCTCTGAAGCACCATGCTCTGTTTTTGAAACATTATAATTACTCTTCCGGGCGTATAGTGGTATACTTGGTGAGCGATAGCTTAATCCTTGCTTAGAAAGAAACACTTCCCAACTGCATAACCTGAAACGAGGAGTATCATACAGTGTTATGTTTGAGATAAGGATGCTAAAATTCTTTTGTGTCTTAAGTCCCTTACAGTGTTGGTACAAGTCCGCTGAGATCTAAAAAGTGAAATCATAAGCTTGGGTGTCTCCTTTCTCCCCAGAATGGTACCTATAATGGCCAAGCAAGGAGGTTTTCTTCTGTTGTGATCCTCGCAATTCCCTTGGCCCAGAACATTTTCCTGTTCCAACATCCTGCCAGAGGATGGAGGACAAATCCTTCCGCCCCGCTCGGCTCTCGGCCAGATTGGCATTTACAGTTTTTAGCGGCACTGGGGCAAGATAAAAGGCCGAAGGAAAATACGATGAATTTTTGCAGGTGCAAAGGAGCAAACATTTCTAGTTAATTAACGTGCAGTATTAATCTGGGATAGAATCCAGTGTCCAAATAATTACAGCCCCATTAATAATTATTTATGATAAATGATACCCGATCATTATGATCTCATTCCCATTGATGAATGGTGCGGGAAATTCCACCAGACCCCTTCAGTTAATATAAACACAGATCGGTATTACCTTGAAAACACCCTCCAGATGTCAAAACCAACTCGGGAGGGGGGAACAATTCTAAAATTAATTGCCACACTTTGGATCTTTACACACCGGATTGTGTCAGTTTCGGAAGACGTCTCACGTAGAAACCAGTCTAACGTTTCCTGGGAGGTGTTAGAGGGGAAGGGGTGACCCATATGATCAAATGCTTGTGGCGCCTTGATTTGCACCAGCTAATGACACGTCCATTTTCTCGTGAAATATCGTCCTGACTTTCAGTTAACATGTATGTTATGATCCCTGCAATGGGGCATATTAGCATTGCTCTGAGAAACATAATTTTTATACTTTCTGAATTCTCCAAGTCTCACTGCGTAACTTAATGGAACATTACCTTCTGCCCGCACCTTTCAAGCTCAATGGAAATACGTACATAGTTTTACAGATTAATGATAACATAATGGTATTTTCCTTTGCTTAATGGACTATGCACGGAGTTATTTTCTTACTCTCTAATGCTGTTAATGTGCAGTTGGTGTTTTATGAAATGGTGTTAACTAAACGTGGGTTCACGCAAAGATGACTGGGCCAGAAGTCAAGGGGGAGGGGGCGAGATTCTGGATTCTGCTCCTAATTGTAACCTTCTCTGTGTTTTCCCATTTGCTAACTGAAGTCAGTCCTACCTGCCACAGCTACTTCATAGTGGGTTCAGTTAAGGTTCAAATGGGAAATAAACACCAGAGTCCTTTGATACAAAATCCAAATGGTGCGTGGAAACAATGCAGACCTGGCTATTTTGTGATGCAAATGCAGGTTCCACAGTATCTGAAAAATGGAAATAGTGTGTCAGTGGGGCATAGAGAACATCGCTGGGGCCAGTACTCAAAACAAAAACCTTTCCAAAGTGTCTCTCTGGCTGCCGGCTGGAAAAGAGTGTTTCCCCACCTCTTAGAGCTTCTGGATCTTGCGCAGAGCCGTCACAGTGTCAGGACCTGACCCAGACTCCCGCTGGGAAAGGAATGTGGGAAATGCAACCCCCGGATTCTCCCCGTGATGCAGAGCAGGATTGGCCAGAAGGAGGAGACAGGCCAAGTTGATGGCAGACAGGCTGGTACACTAGGCTTAGCTGAGGATCGATAATTCCATCCTCTTTTTAAATTCAGTGATAGCATGTTCTAGTCCTTTTTTTTTTTTTAACACACCACTCTTAAAGTGATTGTATTTTAAATCCAACATGGAATTTTTTTTTTTTAAAGATTTTATTTATTTATTTGAGACAGAGAGAATGAAATACAGAGAGCATGAGAGGGAGGAGGGTCAGAGGGAGAAGCAGACTCCCTGCCGAGCAGGGAGCCCGATGCGGGACTCGATCCCGGGACTCCAGGATCATGACCTGAGCCGAAGGCAGTTGCTTAACCGACTGAGCCACCCAGGCGCCCGGAATTTTTTTTTTTTTAAAAAAGAATGTCGTTTTCTCAAAGACCAATGGAGTTTTTTCTCTCTGCACTGGGTAAGGTACCATATGTCAATATCCACTTAGACTGGTTTCTGCTATAACATATTAAAGGTTGAGCTCTGAATCATTGACTCTTTATTAAGAATGATGGGTTTTGCTTATCTTAATCACTGAAATACTGCAAATGTTATAGAGGCATACCTTAGCAGGGTAAAAAGAGATTAAGGAGCTTCGAACACCGTAGAAAGAATTCTTTTTTTTTTTTTTAAGATTTTATTTATTTATTTGACAGAGAGAGACACAGCGAGAGAGGGGACACAAGCAGGGGGAGTGGGAGAGGGAGAAGCGGCTTCCCGCTGAGCGGGGAGCCCAATGCGGGGCTTGATCCCAGGATCCTGGGATCATCATAGAAAGAATTCTTAACTCTTTTGAGCAGTTGAGAGTACATTTAGAATAACCGGGCTATCCATCTCTCAAAGACATTCAGAATTTTTAAAAATGTAGTAAGAAATATAATCAGAAGGGCTCTTGGCAATGATGAATCACATACTTTCTGGTGAGGGAAGGGATTAAAGAGTGTTAAGTTTGCGGCCTTTTGAGTCACCCTAGGTTCAAGATCTGATTCTGGTACTTATTAGTAATGTGGCATTGGGCAACTTTAATAAAAGAGCAGTTACCCGAGATTCCTTGCCACGCCTTGTGCGCCAGATTTTACACGTATTCTTTCCTTTACTCCTCAAAATCACCCTCCGAGATGGAGACTGTCATTGTCCCCGTGCTGTAGATCAGGAACCCGGCTAGGAGAGGACAAGGAACTTACCCCGGAACTGAAAACCATTCTCCATGCTTACCTGCTGCGAGGTGTACTCGAAGTCATGGAAAGTAACAGACATGGCGTCAGTCGAGTAGAGGGTTATGCTGTCCAATGTGGTAGCCCTGGGCCACATGCAGTTAATTTAAATCATCTGACTTAATTAAAATTAACTAAATTTAAGGTCTGGTTCCGCAGTCTTGGCAGCCATAGTCCAAACGCCCAGTAGCCACATGTGGCTCATGGCTACCATATTGAACAGAGGCAAAACATTTCATTCGTTGCAGATACTTCTGTGGGACAGCGCTGGTCTAGGGAATTCGTTGTGTGGGTCTTGATGAGGGTAAAAAACAAACAAACAAGACAAAACAAAAGGCAGCGAGACACAAAGTTCAAATTCTCTTGTAATGTCTCAACTAAAAACAGGAATATGAGTAAATACAATGGCCCGTGTCCGCCCACCATATGTTTGGGAGGAAGGCGATGAGGAACATCGGTGTCAGGGTCTTTGCCAAGCTTTCTCTGAAGAATGAGCGGGGACAACAGAAAACCACGTTTTTGTGACCCCTGAAAACCAGAGAAAGGAGGTAGCATCCATGTGCAACCCGCCTCATGGTTTTTGTCATCCCCGTCTTGTTTGTGCAGGTATGCCATCGGCCTTGCTTACAAATCAGCCCCGAAGCATGAGTGGATTGGGAAGAACTCTGCTTCCTGGGCCCTGTGCCGCTGCCACAATAACTGGGTGGTGAGACACAACAGCAAGGAAACCCCCATCGAGCCAGCCCCCCACCTCCGGCGTGTCGGCATCCTGCTGGACTATGACAATGGTTCCGTCGCCTTCTACGATGCTTTGAACTCCATCCACCTCTACACCTTCGACATCACCTTCTCGCAGCCTGTGTGCCCCACCTTCACAGTGTGGAACAAGTGCTTGACCATTATAACTGGCCTTCCCATCCCAGACCATCTGGACTGCACAGAGCAGGTGCCATGAGCAGCTGGCCACATGGAGCTGCTTTCTGGGGCATAAAAGGGTCACGGCCACCATTTCAGGGACGGAGAAAGCACAGGCTTCCAGAGTGTGATTAAATGTCGCCAAAAAGTGTCCAGAAACATCGGCTAGGATAGGACTCAACATTACTGTCTTTTGTATTAAGTACACGCTTTAATAATTTCTTCAAATTTGTCCTGTGTTTGCAGGAAATTTTATAGATTATTTATAAAAGAAACATAACCAGAATTACAACTCTTAGACATTATCTGGTTTTGCACATTAAGAGGCCCAGAAGTTTACCAGCTCTTTACAACAACCTTTGTGTCATCACGCTCTGTGGGCTTGAGAAAAAAAAAATCTTCTGTAGTTTTGTACGCTTATTCAGCTTCTCACATCGTCGTATCTCATACTGACCCCATCTTGGGTCCTGTCGCCTCGACAGTGCATAACAGAATATGCAGTTACCTTAAAAATAAAAAATAGTTTTGAACCTAGTAGGGCAGCAACCGGGCTTTCTTAGTCTGCTTTATTTTGAAGTGTTTTCAGTGTGATGTCAAAACCGTCTTGGATCAACTAGAATGGAGAGCAAGAGGGAGAGCGGAAAGAATTGACTTTAAGAATTGATGTTAAGAATGAGCTTGCCATTGAAAATAGTCACTTTGATTATTCAGAACATCAGAGGCTGGTTTGTCTTTGATCGGAAGTAGGGTTCTGTTTCATGACCTAAATCTATTTCCTTCTTCCTTTTAATAGTTTCTTCAGGCCTGTGACATTGCTTTGCTACATTTGGTAGCTGTCCTGTCTCCCTCTCCCCCAACTCATTTTTCTTTTGTTGCTGGGGCTGAGGAAGTAAACATTTTGTGTTACAAATGGCAGTACCACTTTGGATTGACTTTGCTCTCCAGGACATCAACACATGGCCCTGACTGTCTCTATCACGTCCAAATAGGACTCACCCAAAAACACTTAATATTTGTGAGTTGGTAATGACAAGGGACATTGCATACTCTTTACTAGTATATGTGCCTCGAAAGTTATAAACAGACTTTTATTAAACACGTCTCGAAAGATGTAGCAGTCCCTCTGTATTCTAGTATAGTTCACTATAGAGTTGTAAAACAAAAAACAAAAAAACAAAAAAACAAAAACAAAAACAAAAAAAGAACAAAACAAAACAAAAAAACCCAAAAAAAATCAAACTCACTAATCCCGTGCTGGAACCCGCTAATAGAACCTGCTGATGGAATGTCGGGTGGGATTCTGGACCTGCTGATCTGGTAAGATGGAATGGTCCATGAAGTAAGGCTTTCTTAAGCAGTCCTTGGATTTGGACCGGGAATCCAGCATTGGTTCTATCTTGACAAAGGGCATGACATCTGTAAGTCATTTCGTTTGCTAAAATATTTATCTGAGCTACTGGGTTGGCCATTTTGACTGAACGGACTGATGGATTTAGGCATTGTTTTTAGCAGTTGGTTTTTAACCAAATCAACCCATTGTCTCCCTGAGATCCGTCCATAGACCCGCTGTTTCAGCATCGTGCTGTATGAGCACCAGCCTGGACTCCATGGGTTGCATCATGCATGCTTCTGTCCTCTTCACTGGCAGACGCTCTCCTTTTTCTGAACAGATAGAGTTTATATATTTACTATATTATTTATATCCAGATGAATATTTTGATAGCTACTTAGGACAATTTCACATCTAAAAGATGGACACCTCAATGGAAAAAAATCAGTCTCTGGAAACTTAATGTTTGTTTGTTTTTTTTACAGTATAAAAACAATGTGTATTTGCCTTCCCTGAACAAACTGAAAGGGTTGTAATTTTTACATACTGTTTTTGGTAGCTGGATAACGGATATTTTAATGCACTTTGTACAGTAACAGTTTTGAATAAAAGGGTCTAAAACTCAGCTTCTGAGTTTTTAAAATCATGGTCGCCAGGTACCAGTAAACGCTACAGTTTGCCTTATGACATCCATGTAAAGCATTTACGAGGACAATATTTCCATGAATATAATGTTTTTCAATATAAAGAAGCTACTACTCAAATTTTCACTGCAAGCCATTTAGTTTATGTTTTGGCTATTTTTATAAGGACGAGAGGGATTATGTTATATTTTAGTTGTGGAAGTCTCACTCTTTGCTAACTTAAAAACCTTGTGGATAGTAGCAGTTACTATTTCCCTGTTGTCCTATTTACAGGAAAATATGTATATGGTGAAAGGCCACAGTGTTTACTTTCATTACTGTAATGATGTAGAAAAGATTTCCGCGTGGGTTTTTTTTTTTTTTTTGAAAGTCTAAAAAATATATGCTATAAACATTTGCTGCAGTACAATTCTTTTTAAGTGGACTGGGGTCACAGTATTTTGTTCTTGAGGTCTCTACTTCACAGGAAGCATTGCGACACAGGGGAGAAAGAGATAGCAGGGCCGGTTACATTAATACAGCCAAATTGATGTGGCGCCAACCAAGGCTGCCAGGTCTGACGTCGTGCGTGTGTGAAGAGGTGCTGTCGCCATCTTGAAATTCTTAGTAATTTTTGAATAGGGGGCCTGCATCTTCGTTTTGCGCTGGGCCTCAAGAAGTCTATAGCCAGTCCTCGTAACAGAACTCAGAAACATGGTACCTCTCTTCCTGGTGGATACAAATGAAAAAACCTGGGTCCAATGTCAAAAGCGGCTGGCCATATAATTCAAGTAGGAATCCAAATGGATTAAGAGGAGAATGGGCGTGGGTGAAGATGTTCTTCCCAGCTTGAAAAAAAAAAAAAAAAGACTTCAAAAACTGCAAATGTTGATGATGATTTCTGCTGAAGAAGAGGAAATGACCTGATGACGAGTGCGCAGTTTATCACGGTACTGAGATAATGGACCCTAAACTTCCCAAGGAACTGAACCAGCGCTGTCCAGTGAACGGGGGATTCCAAGTTTCGGCTCCAGGCACATCTGCGGTGCCTGAAGAGACATACGCATGTATGCTCGCGTACCTGTGCTTTTGGTGTTGGGAAGTCGGTGATCTGGTCTACCCGTACAAAATGTTAAAAAGGAGACAAAGACCACGATGATGGGGGCAAGAGGATGTTTTTGAAATTGTGCTTCTCAACAAAGGGGCGATTTGGCAATGTCTGGAGTCATTTTGGGTTGTCCCAACTTGGGAGCGGGTGCTATCGGTGTCTAGTGGGTAGAGACCAGGGGTGTTGCTCAACAGCCCCCCTAGCCACCCCCACACACACCCAAGAATGATCTGAGCAAAATATCACTGGTGCCGCAGGGGAGAAACTTGCTCTTTGGGGTTCTTTAAAGCAAAACTCTCACAAATATGTTTTACTGTTCCTGTAATTGATTTAATGCCTGATATGGCAAAAAGAAGGGGGACGCTTCACTGCTGTGGCTACCTTCGCTTTAAAAACAATATTTGCAAAACCTGGAATTTTACCTGAAAAAGCAGTCCAAGCCTGTGTAAATGGGAATGCGGGGATCGGTGTCACGAAGATGTGGATGTGATTGGCTTAGCTGGGAAATGCCAAGCTGACTCTCTGTAGGCCGCTCCTTGCACCCGAACAAATGCAACCCCTGGTACTTGCGTCACGCGGCCATGCCCTCGGCCCGGACTCTTCTCACCATTGCTGTTGCTTTCTGGTTCAAAATAAAATCCTTTTTGTGATTCCAAGGCCCTCTGTCTCGCCTGTCTCTTTTGCCTTTTCATCATTGTGTGTTTTCGCACTCACTGTTTCCACACATATTTATATAACGTCTGCTGGGTTTTTTAACTACTTTGCAACCTAGAACATTTCCTTTTATTCCTGAAACTCCAACCCACCATCCTGCTTCTCTCCATTCCAAAGTACAGTTACTAAGCCCCAAAAGAGTCCCTAGGAAATTTTAAAAACACAATAAAGAAAATCCATACAGGAGTGGCGATCCTGAACAAGAATGGCTTGATTTCGAGTCGTCTAGAGCGGGTGGAGGAGGTGAGGACAAGGGGGATTGGAGCAGAGGGGTGAGGCTCTTCACTGTGTGGGCTGCAACACGCCCAGCCATCGGCCCATAAGTCTATCCCCGACCCCATCCCATGGCTCCCAGGACTTGACTTTCTCTCTTTAGAGGTACGAGCCCTTTCGATGGAAGTCAGTGCGCCCCAGAGTGGTCCTCGGTCTGCAGCGTCGGCACCACCTGCGAGCTGCTTAGAAATGCCTGTTCTCCAGCCCTACCCCGCAGGCCGCCTCGTCAGCATCTCCGGGCGTGGGGCCAGCAGTAAGTTCTAACAGGCCCTCCCGGGGACTCTGATGCTGGTAACGGTTTGTGGGGCGAAGCTCGGGAGGGCTTTACCCAGTCCCCTAGCCCACATGAAAATGCACTTACAACCTGAAGTGTGTTTTCAAGGTAATGTGCTTTAAGAGGCAGCATGATGTAATGCAGTGATTCTTAACCTGGCAGAACATTAAGATCGCCTTGTTTCCGGGGCGCCTGGGTGGCTCAGTTGGTTAAGCGACTGCCTTCGGCTCAGGTCATGATCCTGGAGTCCCGGGATCGAGTCCCGCGTCGGGCTCCCTGCTCGGCAGGGGGTCTGCTTCTCCCTTTGACCCTCCCCCCTCTCGTGCTCTATCTCATTCTCTCTCTCAAATAAATAAATAAAATCTTTAAAAAAAAAAAAAAAAGATCGCCTTGTTTCCAAATGCTGATCCCTGGATCCCCTTCTGAAAAATGGGGGATGAGAAGGTCTAGAGTGTGGCCCAGCACCCTATACTGTCGTTTGAGGGGATTCTCAAGCGTAGCCAGGATTGGCTGCCAGAGACACGGGACTCGGCACCTTTTCTATAAAAGTCAGAGAGTGAATTATTTGGGGGTGTTGCAGGACATACTGTCTCCATGGCAACTACTGGAGTCCTCGGCTATGGAGTGAAAGCAGCCATAGAGGATATGTAAAGGAATGGGTGAGGCTGGGTTCCAATAAAACTTTATTTACAAAAACAGCATGGAGCTGCTTTTGGCCCTTGGCGTCATTTGCCACCTCGTGCTCTAACAAAGTACTGGACTCACCATGGGGCATTCGCTATCTCCTCTCCCTGAGGACTCGGCGGCCCCTCATGGCTCTGGGCCCCTTAGCTCTCAAGTCCTTCCCACCTTTGAATTACATCAATTCTGAAAGCACAGAACTCGTGGAGAATTAGGCACCGCGAGTGCTTAAGACAGGGCCACTCAAAGGTTATTAGAAGATTCTTTCATTCAACAGAGTAGGGCGTGTCAGTGCTAATGATTAGCATTCCCTCTTTCGTAATTTTGACTTGAATCAGCTCTTCTCACAAGTGACAGGTGTGGAAAATAGATTCCCTTTAATAAGAGTTTTGAAGTACATTTAATTTGAACTTTTGAAACCGAACAGACACTGCTGTAATTAATCACCTTTCAAAGTCAGCTTGAAGGGCATGACAGACGCTCCGGAGAGTGGCCCACATCCTCCTCTTTTTTAAATTATTATTTTTAAAAATACACAAGTAAAATATGTTGAAGAAGATAGTTGCTTGTGATGATAATAGGAGCATAAAAAGGGAGACGTGTGCAACTTGCAAAGTCCTTCTCCCTTGAGTATCATTCTCGCTGTGGGATGCACATTCAAGAACAAAATAAAAATGGGGTTGAGGCCTTATGGAAAGCCTTTCTTGTAGCTGTCCTATCTTAACATGGGCAATTTATGGAGAGGAATTCAAGTCTCCCTTTGGATCTCTTTCAGCCATGTTCTCCTGGGAGAATTATAAAAGCATGATTAAATAGGAAGTATAGCAATTAACAAGCAAATGTGTCATGGCCAAAAACCAATTACTAATTAAGGAGAGACAAAGAAAAAAATGATTTAATGGAACATTGGTGCTTTTGCACGGTCTATTTATTCTCAAAGCTTAATTTTTGATTATGGTCATTAAAAGCTGTTCAATTTCAGTCAAGTATTTCAGTTAATAAAGCTTATAACTTCCCCAGTCTTATTTTCCCTCCAGCTTCTGCCCTCTCTCACCTCCTATTTTCTGTCAAGCCTCTCAAAGGGCGGTTCAGATGTTCCATTTCTAAGAAATCAGAGAGGGAGATAAACCGTGAGAGACTCTGGACTCCGGGAAGCAAGCTGAGAGTTACAGAGAGGAGGGGAGTGGGGAGATGGGGTAGCCAGGTGTTGGGTATTAAGGAGGGCACATGTGGTGATGAGCGTTAATGAATCGTTGAACACTACGTCAAAAACTAATGATGTACTATATGTTGGCTAACTGAACATAATAAAAAAAACATTTCAAGATTCAAGAAAAAGATGCTCCGTTTCTGCTTCCTCACCTCCCAGTACACCTCCCCACCCTCCACCAGGCATTCAGTGTCTTCACTCTACCGAACCTCGGTCACTGACGTCAGAAACAGTGTCAACATCAACACAAATGTCCATACACGTTTGATCGGCCTCATCTTGACATACGGCAGCTTTTGAGATGTTGACCACTTCTTTTTTAATCCCTCCCTATGCGACGCCATCCACGCCACCTCTTCCTGCACCATTTTGTGCAGAAGCCTCCCAATCTAAATCTCTACAGCTATCTTTTTGATAGCTGAGTAATATTCCACTATATAAATATACACATCCCACGTCTTCTTTATCCATTCTTCTGTTGATGGACATCTGGGCTCTTTCCATAGTTTGGCTATTGTGGACGTTGCTGCTATAACATTTGGGTGCAGGTGCCCCTTCGAGTCACTATTGTTGTATCCTTTGGGTAAATACCTAGTAGTGCAATTGCTGGGTCATAGGGTAATTCTATTTCTAACTTTTTGAGAACCCTCCATACTGTTTTCCAGGGTGGCTGCACCAGTTTGCATTCCCACCACCACTGTAGGAGGGTTCCCCTTTCTCCACATCCTCACCAACATCTGTTGTTTCCTGAGTTGTTAATTTTAGCCATTCTGACCCATGTGAGGTGGTATCTCATTGTGGTTTTGATTTATATTTCCCTGATGCCGAGTGCTGTTGAGCATAAGGGCTGGTATCCAAAATCTATAAAGAACTTATCAAACTCAACACCCCAAAAAACTAAAAATCCAGTTAAGAAATGGGCAGAAGACATGAACAGACATTTCTGCAAGGAAGACATACAAATGGCCAACAGACACCCTATTCTCTTTTTAAAAGACTTACCTTAAAAAAAAGAGTCCTTTGTATTTGCAGAAACCACAAACATTACAGAATAAAAAATAATATCAAAATAAAAGCTAGAATATCTACCTTCTAGCAAATTCCATCCTCTCTTTATAGTGACCGCAGGTCATCAGCAAAAATAAAACCTTAGATTTGGGCAAGTAAATCACCCATCCGTGTCTTCTGTCGCCTCCTGCCCACCTTGCGTCCCTGTGTTGTAAGTCTGGGGTGTTACGTATTTCGCACTTGCCAGCTCAGCTCATTCCACACTCTAAGACAATCGGGTGCAAATAAAATGGGCTCCAAGGTATCACTGTCAACCTTGGTCTTGGAGCAGGTCCCCTCTGACGTTGGTGCCCCACCTCCTCAGTACTTCCCCCCAACTTCCCAGAAAGCACACTCCCTATTCTTCACAGTATCGCAGAGTCCCAGCCTCCTTTCTCATTACTTCCCGGTAGCTGGGCTCTCTGTCCTTGTAGTCCCTCTGACTTGATCTCCAGCACATACGCTAGGTTTCCCACGCAGGCGGCAGCCCTCTGCATGGAGTTTCACCCAATGCCTGTGTCACCTGCTTGTTCACCTTGGTCTCATGTCACCAACTGGGTGCTTCTGCCTGC